TGTCATTATGGAGGAAATTGTATATGTGGGAAATTTTTAAATAATTATTGAAGTGGATTGATATATTTGAATGAGAAATTGCTGATCCATTTAATTTTTGTTAAAATCAAACAAAAGTTTAATTTTGGACCCTTTGAACCCTGGTGTTGACCAATTTGAATAAAGAGCTGCGCCATGAGCGCATGATACGCCCGTCGCTTTAACAAGAATAAAGTTCTATATCTCCTCAATGTCATATCAGAAATTTATAAAAAAAAATAAAATAAAGGGAGGTTATTTTAATAGATATAAACCAGTCACCAAAGTTTCATGAAAACTGCTCAAAAGAACTTTTGAGTTATTGTCTGAAAGCTGGAAAATCCCCCTTTTTTAATGAATAAAACCCAATAACTCAGAAACGTAAAATCTAAAATTTATAAAAAAATCGAAAGGGAGCTCATGTCAATAGATATAAACAATTCACCAAAGTTCCATGAATACTGCTCAAAGCATTTTTGAGTTATTGTCCAAAAACTGGAAAATCCCCCTTTTTTAATGAATAAAACCCCATAACTCGGAAACGTAATATCCAAAATTTATAAAAATCGAAAGGGAGCTCACGTCAATAGATATAAACAATTCACCAAAGTTCCATGAAAACTGCTCAAGGCATTTTTGAGTTATTGTCCAAAAACTGGAAAATCCCCCTTTTTTAATGAATAAAACCCCATAACTCGGAAACGTAATATCCAAAATTTATAAAAATCGAAAGGGAGCTCACGTCAATAGATATAAACAATTCACCAAAGTTCCATGAAAACTGCTCAAGGCATTTTTGAGTTATTGTCCAAAAACTGGAAAATCACCCTTTTTTAATGAATAAAACCCCATAACTCGGAAACGTTATATCAAAAATTTATAAAAATCGAAAGGGAGCTCACGTCAATAGATATAAACAATTCACCAAAGTTTCATGCAAATTGGTTATAGCGTTTTTGAGTTATTGCCCGACATGTTGACGACGGACGGACGGATAGCGGTATACCATAATACGTCCGTAAACGAGCGTATAAAAATGGACCCACAATCCAAAATCTAAATACATTATTAGAATCAGAATATTGAAATCAAGCAAAGTTTAATTTTGCCCCACTTGAAAACAAGGCCCAAAATCATAATTCTAAATACACAATAAGATTAAGCATATCAAAGAAATCCAATATTTCAAGATTATTCAAACCCCATTGAAATTGGTCAGAAATAAGCAATTAAAACAAAGTTTAAAAAACTGCTTGTTTTTTACCCCTTTTTGACCCCTAATTCCTAAGAGGATACGGCAATAACCCCCAAAATCAATCCCAACCTTCCTTTTGTGGTATGGAACCTTGTGGATCAATTTTACAGAGATCCATACACTTATACTCAAGTTATTGTCTGGAAACAAAATGACTTCACACGACAACGACATCGCCATACCATTATACAGCCACAAATGTTTTGAGGTCGTATAAAAACTAGAAAATAAGTGAAAAATCTTCATTTAAGAGCAACAAACCCTACACGGAGTTCACCAATTGTTTTGATCGTATTAGCATTTTTATAGATCATGCATTTCTATTATATTGCTGTTTACAGTTTCTAACTTATGTTTAATTTTTTTAGATATTTCATAATAGGCAAAAACTCAAAGGTTAGAAAAAATTCCTCATTGTTAAAAGAGCATTGATATCTCCTGTAAGGAGTCATCTGTAGGTACAAATGTATTGGTCATATATTGAACCTTTTTTGCATCTTCGTTATTGCTGATCCTTTCTGCTTTTTTTCAGTTTCTACCTATATATGTATTATAGTTTTCAAGACAATAACAAAAATACGAAAAATAAATAAAGCAACATAATTTAAGGGCAAAAACTCCTATAAGGAGTCATCTGATAATTTTGGTGTAAAAATGATTGCAAAGCTCATATGGCCCATTGGACAAGGGGAGCTTCTTTGGGCCATCTGTAATGAAAAGGGTATGCTAGACATTGAAAATATCTTAACAATTTTTTTGTATTATCTCTTAAACCTCACTGTCCAGGGTCATATCTTCAAAAGACCATTCAACGAAAATTGAAAACTTGCACAGACAGACAATAAGTATAATAAAGAGCTGCACCATGAGCGCTTGATATGCCTGTCGCCCTTTTAGCTGTCTTTATGCTTAAAATGAATTTTTGTTTAGGGGCCAGCTGAAGCCCGCCTCCGGGTGCGGGATTTTCTCGCTGTGTTGAAGACACATTGGTGGCCTTCGGCTGTTTTCTGCTCTTTGGTCGGGTTGTTGTCTCTTTGACACATTCCCCATTTCCATTCTAAATTTTATTATATGATTAACTAGAAATACTGTGAGCACTGCTCAAATAGACCCCCCCCCCCCCCAAAAAAAAAAAAACAACATGCACACACAGTACTACCCATTGACACAAAACATGAATACTATAACTTGGCACTGTTAATGCTACCTCAAGTTTAACTAAGTTTGTGGCCTCGATTTTTGGATGAACAAATTCTATAAACCCAAAAGTGTGAAAAATGGAGTTTTCAACGATTTTTCACAAATAAAGTTCTATAACTCGGCAGTATCATATCAGAAATTTATTAAAAAAAAACCAAATGGGAGCTAATTTCAAAAGCTATATAAATAAGCAACTAAAGTTTCATGAAAACTGCTCAAAGTGTTTTTAAGTTCTTGTCTGAAAACTGGGAAATCACCCCTTTTTTATGAATAAAGTCCCAATTCTCAATAAAATTCTTCGCTGAGCACAGCCTGATACGACCGCAGAGGTCGAACCCTGAACAGTTGGGGCAAGTTTGGACACAATATTCAAGCTTGATACTGTCTGAATTTGGATTGTGATCAAATTTTTGACATAATATAGGTTTCTGACACAAAATAAATGTGGTCAAAGATCTTAAAAATTTGAAATGGGACATTTAATTTACCTAGAATGGTCTGATATCCAAAATCTAACAACATGGTTAGATTCAGCATATAAAAAAACACCAATAATTTAATTTTAGTTGAAATCAAACAAAGTTTAATTTTGAACCCTTCAAACCTTAATATGAACTAATTTGAAAACAGGGCCCAAAATAAAAATCTAAATGCACAATAAGATTCAGTATATCATACAGCCGCAATAATTCAGTTTTTGATGAAATCAAACAAAGTTTAATTTTGGACCCTTTTGACCTCAATGTAGACCAATTTAAAAATGGGGCCCAATATCCCAAAAAATTATACAAGGTTAGAACCCCCAAAAATTAAAGGCTTAATTAATCCCATCTAAATTGGTTAAAACATTTGTATTCGTTTTCAATTTGAAGATTTCTTGCTATTGCGCAAAACTGTGCAATTGAAGATTTCTTGCTATTGTGCAATACTGTGCAGATGAAGATTTTTTGCTATTCCGCAATACTGTGCAATTGAAGATTTCTTGCTATTGCGCAATACTGTGCTATTGTGCAATACTGTACAATTGAAGATTTCTTGCTATTGCGCAATACTGTGATATTGCACAATACTGTGCTATTGCGCAATACTGTGCAATTGAAGATTTCTTGCTATTGCGCAATACTGTGCTATTGTGCAATACTGTGCAATTGAAGATTTCTTGGTTTTGCCCAATACTGTGCTATTGTACAATACTGTGCTATTGCGCAATACTGTGCAATTGAAGATTTCTTGCTATTGTGCAATACTGTGCAATTGAAGATTTCTTGCTATTGTGCAATACTGTGCTATTGCGCAATACTGTGCAATTGAAGATTTCTTGCTATTGCTGTGTTGTTGCGCAATACTGTGCAAATGAAGATTTTTTGCTATTGCGCAATACTGTGCAATTGAAGATTTCTTGCTATTGCGCAATACTGTGCTATTGTGCAATACTGTACAATTGAAGATTTCTTGCTATTGCGCAATACTGTGATATTGCACAATACTGTGCTATTGTGCAATACTGTGCTATTGCGCAATACTGTGCAATTGAAGATTTCTTGCTATTGCGCAATACTGTGCAATTGAAGATTTCAAAAATTTTGAAGAAAAAAAAAAGAACCCCCCCCCCCCAAAAAAAATTGGAATAAAAAAATCCCCCCAACTTTTTTTAACCCCCCACCCCCCTTTTAAAGTAATTACCTCCAAACTCAATCCCAGCCTTCCCTTTATGGTATGGAACCTTGTAGTACAATTTTAGAGAGATCCATACACTTAAACACAAGTTATTGTCTGGAAACTAGAAAAATACTTGTTTTTGCCCCCTTTTTTGCCCCTAATTCCTGAACGTTTGGGGCAATTAACCCCAAACTCAATCCCAGCCTTCCCTTTGTGACATGGAACCTTGTGGTACAATTTCAGAGAGATCCATACACTTGCACACAAATTATTGTCTGGAAACTACAAAAATGCTTGTTTTTGGCCCCTAATTCCTAATCTGTTGGTACCATCACCCCCAAAATCAATCCCAACCTTCCTTTTGTGGTATTGAATCTTCTGGTAAAAATTCATAGAGATCCATTCACTTAAACTAAAGTTATTGTCCGGAAACCAAAAGTGTCTTCGGACGACGACAACATCATAGCATTATCTGACGCAAAAAAATTTTTGCGGTTGTATAAAAACCTAAAATCTGAAAATTTTAAAAATTGAAAGGGGACTTATGTCAACATATATAAACAATTCATCAAAGTTTCATGAAAATTGTTCAAGGCATTTTTGAGTTATAGACAGAGAACTGGAAAATCACCCATTATTTTATGAATAAAATCCCATAACTGGGAAAACATAAAATCTAAAATTTATGAAAATCAAAAGGGAGCTTATGTCGATAGATATCAACAATTCACCAAAGTTTCATGAAAATTTGTGAAAGTGTTTTTGAGTTATTGTCCAAAGTGTTGACAACGAACAGATGGATGGACAGACAGACGGACAAGGGTATACCATAATACTTCCCGTAAACAGTCGTATAAAAACAAATAAAACATTTTCTAAGAAATTTATTTATCATAATCTATTCTCCATTATGAAGGACTGTGAACTAAACATAAATAAATGATATATCAATTATTGAAACACTGAAAAAATGCACCATCAATAATATAATAGCTATTAAAACCATGTTTCTTATATATAATTGCTTTTCATTTTTTACATAGAATTTTTGTGAAATTAAGGATAAAAAATATCCTGTATATCAATTTTTTTAAATCCTCAGACCCTTTAGAAATGTATTTTAAAAAATTTTGCAAAGTTATCTGTACATCACTTTTTATCATCTGAAGAAAAAAAACAACAAAATATTTTGTAATCCTTGTTGCTGAACTGTTTTATCATTTTAATGCCGACTTGTCTCAACACATTCTCTCTTACAACAAAAAAAAAACTTTTTCAACCATGAATAAGATTAATAAAAAAAATTTATATGATTTGTCAAAATAAGTGCATTATGCTTTCTTCATTTTATCTATTATATTAATAAATTTTAAACACTATCATTGCAAGAAATGTTAAATTTAAGAAAACACTGTTATTTTTGTCATCTGTAGTACACACCCTTTATATCTGAGGTTATTTTTGATATCTGTAGTAAACATCCTTTATATCTGATGCTATTTTTGTTATCTGTAGTAAACATCCTTTATATCTGATGTTATTTTTGTTATCTGTAGTAAACATCTTTTATAGCTGATGTTATTTTTGTTATCTGTAGTAAACATCCTTTATAGCTGATGTTATTTTTGTTATCTGTAGTAAACATCCTTTATAGCTGATGTTATTTTTGTTATCTGTAGTAAACATCTTTTATATGTTATTTTTGTTATCTGTAGTAAACATCTTTTATATCTGATGATATTTTTGTTATCTGTAGAAAACATCTTTTATATCTGATGTTATTTTTGTTATCTGTAGAAAACATCTTTTATATCTGATGTTATTTTTGTTATCTGTAGAAAACATCTTTTATATCTGATGTTATTTTTGTTATCTGTAGTAAACCTCTATTATATCTGATGATATTTTTGTTATCTGTAGAAAACATCTTTTATATCTGATGTTATTTTTGTTATCTGTAGAAAACATCTTTTATATCTGATGTTATTTTTGTTATCTGTAGTAAACCTCTATTATATCTGATGTTATTTTTGTTATCTGTAGTAAACACCCTTTATATCTGATGTTATTTTTGTTATCTGTAGTAAACATCCTTTATATCTGATGTTATTTTTGTTATCTGTAGTAAACATCCTTTATATCTGATGTTATTTTTGTTATCTGTAGTAAACATCCTTTATATCTGATGTTATTTTTGTTATCTGTAGTAAACATCCTTTATATCTGATGTTATTTTTGTTATCTGTAGTAAACCTCTTTTATAGCTGATGTTATTTTTGTTATCTGTAGTAAACATCTTTTATAGCTGATGTTATTTTTGTTATCTGTAGTAAACATCCTTTATATCTGATGTTATTTTTGTTATCTGTAGTAAACATCTTTTATAGCTGATGTTATTTTTGTTATCTGTAGTAAACACCCTTTATATCTGATGTTATTTTTGTTATCTGTAGTAAACCTCTATTATATCTGATGTTATTTTTGTTATCTGTAGAAAACATCTTTTATATCTGATTTGATCAGTTTGTATTTGTGTCTACATTGCCCCAGGTTTAACAGACAATTCATTATTGTCGAGGTTCCTCAACACATTATTTTTTTTAAAAGATTTTTCATGTTACAATGATAACAATATCCAACAGAAAAAAATGGGCCTTGATTTATTGAAAAGCAACTTCAATGTAGTGTCTCTTAAATGAAAGTGTGAAGAACGTTGAGCAATAATTTAAATTTCAAGAAGAGGTATTCTGTACAATGATCAACCAATATGTCTTGCAAAATATTTTCATTTTGTTTTACAGCAAAAAAAAACAATTTGCTGTCTTTATACGGTAATTTGTAAATGACAGCTGTTTCAAATTAAAGTTTATTTGGAGTGATCAATTCCTTGACTGACCATCTGAAATTATCTGTGCAATGGCAAATATCTTGTAAATGAGTTTCAAAATGTATGATTCAACAGTGTTTTTTCTGTAAGTTGCATTAGAACTAAAACACTGTATCTCAAGATTTGTAGGCATTAATTTCTTATTTGATGGTTGCATATATCCCTTTAATGGCTCAGCTAACATGTCTCCAATAAACTGAATTTGAAACCATCAAATTACCAATTGATGCCCACAAATCTTTATATACAATACTGTTATTTCCTTAATCTAATTACAAGATACAAAGTTTCAATTAGATTATGAAGATGAAGACAATCTTAGTCAGCTGTAAATGATAAACTTATATATGCCACATTTTCAGAGGCAAAAATATATACAAAGTTCATGAGTATTTCTTAGTTGCAGGAGTGCTGAACAAATCCATTTAGCCAAGACATAACTTATACATAACAAATCATGCAAATACTTATAAACACTATAAAACAACTGTTTCAATCTTTACAATATCAAATAAATCTTAAACAAGTAGATGAAAATAAAATATCAAAGCTATTCAAAATAAATTACCCGTTGTGTTATTAAGTGAACAATTCTTTGGTATTACAGTAACTGCCTAAAAGTTTGCACAACTGAGCTCTCTACTAATCATGTACCAAAAGTACAGTATTTTTTGTTATGTAAAATAAGTTTAAAAAATAATACCATTCACTAGGTATATAACCAGAACCTAATCGAGACAATAAAATAATTTTTAAAATCTGTAGAAAAAGATGAAATAATTTTTGCCTAAATCAAGCCATGTAGGAACCTCTGCATGTCCAAGATAAGCCGTTTCTAAAATTTTACTGTAGTTCGATTCCATCACTGGTTGATAAAAGTTAAACATTTCACTGATATTTTTTTAAAAGTATGTATGTGTACAGAAAGGATTTCTTAAATGTTATGTAGTGAATGCTGATAGACAATGTACAATGTATGATGTAACAAATGATTGTCAAAATATAAATACAATGTTATCAATATGTAACAATGTTAACAATATGTAACAATGTTATCAATATGTAACAATGTTATCAATATGTAACAATGTTAACAATATGTAACAATGTTATCAATATGTAACAATGTTAACAATATGTAACAATGTTATCACTATGTAACAATGTTAATATCACAATAGAATATTTCTGTGAACTTCAGGTTTTTGGTAATAATGTAAGTGGATACAAATATCAATCCTGTTTCAAAATGTTTTTAAAAAAGTACAAGTGAAAATTGTAAGACATATCTTTTTTTCTCTAAAAAAAAATCCTGATATAAACCGAAGAAACCAGTAATCATAGCATACATACTGAATATTGTTGGCTCATATATGACCATATATAAAACACAAAACACATTAACACTCATAAATAATTAAACAAAATTACAACAAACAGTCAATAAACAGTTGAGTATTATTATTCTTTATAAAATCCCTGATTTGAATGATAACAGTGAAAATAATGTCATGTTAGGTGTTAAAATAACTTCTGAGAATAAAAATTCTTTAATATTTCCCTTCCATAAAACAAAAACTCAATTAAAATATGTAATGTAATTGTGGTTTTAAAAAATTTCAATGGACTCAAATAACTGACCAAAAAATCTTTAAAAAAAAGTCTAATTATCTCCCTTTAAAAAACAAAAAATACATCATTCAGGGCAAAATGTGAACACTGCATTCTTTGACCGTAATGGATTTTCATTTACTAAATGATTAAATTGTGTTTTATATTCCAGATATTTCAGTGCATCTTCACTGAAAATAAACAAAGCACTATCCTTTTGGTTTGAAATAATCAAACTAATATCCTAACTCAGAACAAATAGGCAAGATTGATTTAGATAACTATGAACAATTACCCCCGGTACTGAAAATGAAATTATACCAAGGTTTAACACCTTTCCATATCATTTTGGGATTCTGTCCATATTTTTTCATTCATGCATTTGCTTTCTAGTAATTGTCAGTTTCTATGATAACAATGTACTGTAAATCATATAGTTATATACTTATTTTTAGATCAATTTTGATGGTCTAGCAAATAACACAGCCTACATGTAAAGTTTAAGTGACCATTAAATCAGGTGTTGTGGTTTATTATTCTTATTTACATAACAAATGTATTCTACTCTTGCAGTAACCATCTTGTTTTATATATCGAATGCTAAGACAAATATGACATGTATTCTTATAAAACCAATCAATTAAACCCACATAAACACGGGATTCCTTACAGTGTCAAGAATCTACAGGCATATAAATATACCAGGATTATATATCTACCTGCTTCTATGCGATACATTGGATCATACAATGTAATTAGGATCACTCTAATATGTCCTCATCCTCTTTGTATAGCCTATAAAAATCCCAGTTACTATACAACTTTGTAACAATACACTATATTACACATACTATATATGTAATTGATAATAGTCATGTGTGTATTGTCAAATTGGTCTGCACCTTTGTTAGGAAGATAGTCTTACAAAGTTTACACATTTATATAAATAAATATACTTCTATAAATGTAAACTTCTTGCACATCTAGTGTCTTCAAAGTTTATACAAACGAATAGAAAAGTATACTTCTTGCACATCAAGTGTCTTTAAGTATACTATAGAAATATTTATTGCACTTTTTTTAATATCTAAAGTACATCTTGATATTTGTGTCTTTTAACTATCAACAACAACAATGCTATAATGTATTTCAATGTCTACATGATTAGGTTTATTAAACCTTAGGTCTTCAATTTCCATGGCAAAATTTCCTCAAGTATTCCTCTTTAAATGTTTGTTACCATGGAAATCTCTCCTATAGTCAAACATTTGTGTGTTTATAACCATCATCCTCATATCTGTTACAACATAATGCCACAACAATTGCCACTACTCCAATTAACAGCACCCCTCCTGCCACTGAGCCTACAATAATATATATAGTCCAAACATCTATATCCTTTTCAGCAGATTTTTTCTGACTTGTATTTTCACCCTGTGTTTTGCCAGTAAAATCCACATCACTGTAATCGATTGTTTCATCTTTATTGTTTTCTCCATATGGTATAATCTGATCATTTTCCGACGTTGGATTAAAGGGTTCAGGGGCAATTCCTTGATCATATGGATCATCAGGATCTATACGGCCTGTCCTACCAAACCAATTGTCTGGGTTTTGTGTTTTCGTGTCCTCATAGTTTTTATCTAAAATAATAAGAAATATATATATATGAATATACATTATACATGTCTGATAGTTTGTTCTCAATTCCATTTATTACAAACATTTATTGCACATTATTGCAATTTTTTATTTAAAGGGGCATTAGCTGTCAAATTCATATTCACGAATTTGACTCAAATTCTTATATTTGATGTATAACATACTAAAACATATACTGTGGATTCATTATTATTCGTTGGATACCAATTTTCGTGGATTTCGTTGATACAGGTGAACCACGAAATTAAATGTTCAACGAATGACAAATTGTCCATCGGCTTGTATGCAAACTTCGGCAAAACCACAAAATTAAATATCCATGAATATGTAAGTTTTCCTTAATCCACGAAAATTGGTACCCACGAAAATAAATGAATCCACAGTATTCAACTCAAAAATGCTAAAAAAAATAATTAACAATGCATGGACTCGATAATATGTATCAGGATTTCGTGTGTAATTTAGTCTAGACGCCATCTAATTAACCATTGTGGTGACCTCTGAAGACTGCTGTCAGTCATATAACCGGTTATAAACATAAATATAAATGTAAATAGATAGCGAACACGTGCAATAGGTCTGTTTGATTTCATATTATAGGTTAAACAAATATGTTAATCATCGTTTTTACCTGTATAAGAATGAGTTTTTGTGGATTTAAACAGTAAACCAAAAGGTTTACCTGTTTCACTTTCAATGTTGACAAGTTTCCTTTTAAAAGCTGAACATGTCTTATTTATGCGTATCTCTAGCTCAGGCGTGAAATAGAAGGTCACATGAATATGAATTCAATGAGGTCAAATTAATCACTTGCAAGTGAATAATTCATCAGCAATGTTCCTTAGCTTATTTTGACAAAATTGTACCAAACTGGCTGCTTAACGCGAATTAATATTTCACTATTTCATTATTTTATTTTTTTTATCTGGTAGCTAATGCCCCTTTAAGAATATAAAATTGGGATGAATTTATTTTAGTTATTATTTTTTTTTTCAACATTTTTTAATGAATTATTGTCCTGCCACTATTTTTGTCAAAGCTGGTTTAAGTTATGCTGTAGTTCTTCATTAGTTTACTATAGGAACAAACTGTATAAATCAAAGTGTATGATAGTAACTATCATAGGCAATGTGGGGTGTTTTGAAGAGTTAAACCAATCAATTAATTTATCAAATTGTGAAATCTAAATAAGTTAATAAACTAATAATACAAATTTTATAGTACAGCAAAAGAGGTAAAGTTCTCTTGCTAGTGTCTAAATACTAGAAGTATTGACCAAGTCCTTGTCCTTGATGTTAGAAGTTTAAATCAAATCAAATATTGAAGACCAACTTTACTTCTGGTGTAATTTATGACTGTTCAGTACAATAATCTTACTGGTGAAGAAGCTATAAGAAACATTTGTTGAAAACCAAAGCCAATGTTCTGCAATATGACCCATTATCCCCAAAACAAAAACTTTTGAATCCAACACAAACTGAGTCAAAAGATGATGATGGATTGGAGTTTAACGTCCAGTGGCAGCTAGTACATGCATTTAAGGATGAAAACATGTTAATGTGATATGAATATGAACCCTGCTTTGTACTTATTTGACATGCTGAACAATGTATTCAACATGCTAGTTCACAAGGCAACAATTAGTAGGAAGACATGTCACCCCTGATACATCCTTCTGATGACTGAGCAGTTGAGAGTTGTCTCATTGGCAATCATACCACATCTTCTTTTTATATTTGCTCTTAATCCTAAATTCCATGTGCTTAGTGGAGAAGCAGCATATACTTATTCTAAAGTCTTTGGTTTGACCTGGCAACAAAGGCAGTTCTGAGTAAGAGGAACATTTACATTCTGACAGTAGAGGTTTTCTTAAAATTGGTTTTTGATACAAAAACTTTTAACAAATGCAGATTAAACAAAAGATTGAACGGACTAATAGGACAAAAAAATAAAACATTCTAAACATAAACTGTTGACACAGAGATATGTCTCGCCTGTTGGCATAAAATTCAGAAAAAGACAATCTGATGGACAGCAACATTGCTAACTAATTTAAAGTCGCTGGACCAACTAGTGGGTAGGACCTCGAAATGGTTGACAAACTGAGATGTACAGACAGCAATGTAACTTTATAGAAAATATTGTCTATTGTAAGTAGTTCCTATCAAAATAGCTTAATCATAAAAACTTAACATTGAAAATTGTTACTTGATTGAAAGTCACTGGACCATGACCTAGGGGGCAGGGACTCAAAATGGTCGTCAAACTGATATGTACTGATAGTAATGCAACTTTCTAGAAAATATCATTGATCTATCGCAATTAGTTCATATCAAACTAACTTAAGCAGAAAACTTAACATTAAAAATTGCTTATAAACTCAAAGTCACTAGACCATGTCCTAGGGGCCAGGGCCTCAAAATAGTTGTCAAACTGATATGTACTGATAGTAATGCGGCTTCATGCAAAATATCATTGATCTATCACAAGTAGATCCTATCAAGCTAACTTAAGCAGAAAACTTAACATTTAAAATTGCTTATTAATTCAAAGTCACTGGACCATGACTTAGGGGGCATTTATTGACATTTTTAACTATCCTGATCACAAGAAATATAAACTTCACTGACTTGTTTTTTTCATAAAAATGTCCCACCAGTTTGAACTTGATATTGGGAGACAACTCTAACTCCTTTTTAATTTTGTATTTACTTTGTATTATTATCACAATTTCTTTATATCTTATCTATCCCCAAAAAAACCCACAGATTTATGAGAAACTTTATAAGAGAGAAAAGTCATATGACATGGAAACTATATACCTTTTTTTTCATTGAAACATAGCAGGGGGCTACATCTGGATTCAGAACTATGACATAGGACTACTATGCTAAAACTTTTCAAAAATATAATCTGCAGAAGTCATATGCAGAGGCATTGATTTTTAAAATTATGTGTGCATTATCTGCTTTACTACCCATAACTTCCTTATTTCACAAAAAATCACTGTTATTACAATTTGTCTTTTATTTCAATTCTTTGAACATTTAACTTGGTGACTTAGCCTATCCTATAATTGGTGTACCTGCCTGTGTCTTGAAGTAATAATATCTATTACCACAATTAAGGATGTACTTAGGTCAGGTTTGGGAATTTTTGTCAGATGTTAGTTTTTTTCCCCAAGATACAGGGTAAAATATTTTGCCCCATAACACCCATTTTTCTTTTCATATAAGACTTCAATAGCTCATAAAAGGTCATTTACCAAAATTTATGCAGATTCGAGATTTCTTTTCTTTCGATTTGAGACCCAAATAATACCAATGCAAGTATAAGGTAAAAGTCTGAGACAGCCTTTTCCCGCGATTTTTTAAAAATCAAATATCTCGAAAAGGAGCTCCATAACCTATCAATATTAATATTTTTAGCTTATTTTGTTTCTTAAATAATGCTCTTCTGACTTAAAGTATGAATTTAAAATCTGAGATTTTTTTAATTTCACCTAAGTACATCCTTAAGTATTTCAAATATTTTAGAGCTTGAGAAATTATACAGAACCTTGTCTATTGTTGAAGACCAAAAGTTGACCTATAGATGTGATTTGGTATTTTTTGATACATGTATTGGATTACATGTCTATATTTATACACATCTCTTTTTATTCAAACATTTACTTATATCACTATCTTCTTCTTTTGGAGAAGTTACCACAAATGTTGATAATGTTTTTATTCCAGAGATGTGAGAAGAAGAATTTACTACTTTTGTTTATCTTTCAAATTACCATAAATTTCAGGTTGCATATATGATGTATCTTCTCTATTTTTCTTCTTATTCTTTTTCTTCTTCTTTCTATCTTTTTTATTTTTCTTCTTTTTATCTTTCTTTTTCTTTTTCTTCTTATCTTTTTTGCGCTGTGTATCATCAAAGTCATCATCCCAGTCTGGTGTTGGTTCTGGCCAGAAGGGTATTCTCATTGTTGTTGTTGTTGTAGTGGTTGTGGTTGGAGTTGTTGTAGTTGGTGTTGTAGTTGACGGAGTGGTTGTGGTAGGAGTTGTTGTAGTGGTAGTCGGTGTAGTAGTGGTTGTCGTTGGAGTAGTCGTTGTAGTAGAAGTAGTGGTAGTAGTTGTGGGTGTAGGTATGACTGTCAACCATACATCTACTTGTTTCAAACCAAAATAATTACCAACAAAACAAACATAATGTCCAGCATCTTTCATTGTAACACTGCGTAGAACTAACATCTCTTTATTTTCTAAAATCTGAAATTGAAGGTGTCAGTTTTATTTTCAAATCGTCCATATGTAAAATACAAGTAGGGTATATTTATTTGATAATATATTAAATTAATCAGCCTATACATTTTACAGCTCCTTTCTAAATGAATTAATTGCCCTTTTCTGAAAATAAGCCAAGGACAATTTTTTAACAGCTAACCTAACATCCAAACATGTAAATATAGATTCCACCACTGCATCAAGGGTGTTACGATAATTCTTCACTCGAGACAGTTAATTTTTAATATTTAAAGTGCAAGGCTTTCTGAGCTTTTTAAATAATTAAAATTTAACTGTTGAGAGTGGAGAAATATTGTAATACACGAGTAATAGTGGTGGAATCTGTTTCTCTAATGATTTTTAGACTATATCTAAACATGTTTAACTCTGCCACATTCTTTATGTGCCTGTCCCAAGTCAGGAGCCTGTAGTTCAGTGGTTGTCATTGGTTTACGTCTGTCATATTTGTTTTTCGTGAATTGTTTTGTTATAAATTAGGCCGTTAGTTTTTCAATTGAATTGTTTCATATTTTTCATATCGGGGCCTTTTATAGCCGACTATACAGTATGGGTTTTTTTCATTGTTGAAGGTCATATGGTTGCCTATAATTGCTTACATCCACTTTATTTGAACTTTGCTGGATAGTTGTCTCATGTTGTTGTATCATAGTTGTATGGACAAATATGACAGACATGAACCAATGACAACCACTGAACTACAGGCTCCTGACTTGGGACAGGCACATAAAGAATGTGGCGGGGTTAAACATTGCTTGTTTCACTAAGAATTAGACTGATTATTTGCTGTCATTTGCCATCTAAAGATTACAAAAGACTCCTTGTCTTGAAAATGAATGTACGGGGATTAGGATTGGCGGAATGGGGTGTGATGTGCACATAGTGCATACCACCTAAATCTAGCAATGACCTGGACATGTTGAGCCCTAAACCCTTCTAAAGGCTCTATGAATTTGTGAGTCCCTCCTTACCTCCAATCTTTGATCCACAACTGTATATTACCTTTAGCCATTATAATTAATACTGCTATGCTAATATTATAAGATAACTTACATCTGATGTTTTACCAATACTTGTCTGTAATCCTGTTTGATTCCTTTTCACCCATTTAATTGTGGCCTCAGGATCATTCAAAGGTCGGCAAGTAAATATAGCATCTTCACCTTCATTAACAGTCTGATTCTGAGGTTCTTCTACTTCTAAAGGCCATGTCAATTCTTAAAATAGAAACAATTTAACTAAAGCTAATAAGCCAATATAATTACAGTTGGGTGGCTACAGAAGCACTTCTCACCTGTTGAACGTTTTTTTTTCCATATTTATGTTTCTGAATAAAATAAGAGGATGGCAGTAGCACTTAATACCTTCAGGTTTTCAGATTCTGATAAAGACAGGTGTCAATGGAATTCAAAAAAGTATAATTTTGTGTTATTTTTTTCTTGTGTTATTGAATGCTCTTACATGTATCACTTTACACTGGGAATTTCAAATGAAATAAACAGTCTCAATTGTTCAGTTTATATAATGTATCAAATGAAATTATTTAAGATTTTTTATTAGTTCTATACTTTTTCCTCACTTATTTCTGGGTCCATGAAACATTGATAGCATGTATGCAAAATGTTTACAATAAAAGGAAACTAAGTACATACAAATGTTAATTAAAATATTTTAAATTCATCAAGACTTAAATGTGTTTATAGTCACAGAGGTTATGGTCAATATTATTTTCAGAAACAATTTGAACCCCTGCCTATGCATCAATAGCAATTGAGCAGCAAATACTAATTGATGAAAGTCTTTGGTTTAATCCAATGACCCATGACTTCTAACCCTTGGGGACCATCATAGATTCTAGAGTGATAGTACAAAACAATGGTTGGTAAATGTTTGAATAACTTATTCACATTTGATGACAAACGTGGAACCATTTACTGTACAAGTACTTACTTATTACTGTAACATAGAATGTAAAATTCAGACTGCCATGGACATTGGTCACTATACATTGGTAATCTCCCTTATCATCAACCTGGGCATCTTTCATTATCAGCGAGTACCGGTGCAGCTTTGTCTACAAGAAAGAAATATATCCTGTCAAGAAACTCCTAATACTACAAAGAACATGTTACACCATTGTGGATGTCATGTACATAGATCCTGTTGGGAAATGATATTATGTACAAATAATCCAATGAAGCACACATTTATCTTGAAGGACGCTCTTAATTCAATGGGACAGACAAATGGACAGAAGGGCAGACAAAACCTAGGTAAAATAGTATACTCCTCCTTTGGAGCAGAGGAATAAAAAAATATATATCTGAACACATAAATTGCAAAATAACAAATGTTTGATCATTCTAGCATTTAGTTGTATAAAGACAACATTCTGCATCTGTTATCAAATGGGTGTTAATCAGGCAACAATCAATCAGCTACTGTTAGTGCATGAGTTAAGTCAAGTGGGAAAGACCTCTCATAAAGAACATGCTGAGATGTCTCACTTGCTTTACATAATGTGATTGAACTTATGTTGGGAGTCTGTAATATGAAGGGTTTACTACAAGTATCACATAAACCTTACATCCATGTAAATGAGGTTAAGGTTAGGTCCAGTCAGAGGCTAGACAGACTTGAACACCTTACAATCATTCCATACACAAAATATAGTTGACCTACTGCTTATAGTAATTGATAAACTAACCAAACCACAAAAACTGAACATTGTCCAATGAACCATGAAAAAAGGTCATGGTCAGATGAAACCTCCCAAGTAGACATCATATTATACTATACCATACACCAAATACAGCTGATCTATTGCTTATAGTATCTGAGAAACAGACCAAACCACCAAAACTAGATATTGACCAATGAACCAAGAAAATTAGGTCAAGGTCAAATGAAACCTGCCTGTTGGACATGTACACTTTACAATCATTCCATAGACCAAATATAGTTGACCTAATGCTTATGGTATCTGAGATAGGACTTAACCTTGATCACTGATCCATGTCAGGTGAACCTTGTCTGACAGACATGTAGACCTTGCAAGGATCCAAATATAGTTTATCCTTTTACTCATAAGTGAGTATTTCACATGACAAAAAAATCAAGAGGTATTTTTCAAACAGTCGCTGAACCATGGAAAAGAGGTCAAAGACAAAGGACATATAACAGACTGAAACTACCTAACTAAGCACCTACATGCAAGGTATGAAGAATCCAGGTCTTCCACCTTCTGAAATATAAAGCCTTAACAAATAGTTTAAGATTTCACCACCTCCAGATTGCAATTCCTATGTCTGTCCTATAACTCTCTTCATAGGCGAGATAAAAACCTTTAAGATCTGGTTATACAGAATTGTTTTTTAAATTTACAACAAATTCTTGGCAACATGAATGCTGCCATATGAGTGAATTCTTGCTATACCAAAATGTTTTATTTCTTATTTCCAATAAATATTAACTATAGGTAGTTAGGTAACCTAGCTGAGCAGTAAGGCAGGTCCTTTCTTTTTTGGGGGGAATAAAAAGAAATAGATCTTTAACATATGAAATCATTATAAAATAGAGTGTGGGCGATCCATAAACTGGTCCGCCATTCCATCTAAATCTCCACTCCGAAGGAACGGGTTGGAACCATTGTCACATTGGCATTAATTGGCAGAGTCTTACAAATCCAACGATTCGCTACAAAATTGACAATCATATTGACAGCAACTTTTGACAACTTGACCTCAAATATTAATATTGCATGCAATGCTGCAAAATAAATAAGTATCTGTTAATTAAATCCATACGGCAAGCTATTCATATCTCTATGTGGTATAAATTTTATGTATATTTTAAGACATGATACAGGTGTGTTCAAACATGGACATATGGTCAGATAATATGTTTTTGTACGTCATATGAATTCATACTATGCTTGCTTTTTCAATGGAAATTGTGACGTCACAATGCGTTCTTAATAGCATGAAAACCGATAATACAAGGATACTACTAGTATCAGAGACATATAAAAAATAATGGGGAATGTGTCCATGGGACACAGATGATGCCCCCCCTTGCATATAACGTTATAAAGGGACATAACTCAATAACTGTAAAAGTGACGCTACCCAAATTTGTACTTGATCTGAGTTTTGTGGTAATAAGCATTGTTTATAAGTTTCATAAAATTTAGTTTAAGCAAACTTAAGTTAGAGAACGGAAATGAAAAATTCAGCAATTTTTCCATTTGTAAAGGGGCATAACTCTAGAACAGTAAAAGTGAGACCACCAATATTCAAATTTGATCTGTGTTTTGTGGTATTAAGCATTGTGTATAAGTTTCATAACATTTAGTTGAGGCAAACTAAAGTTAGAGAAAGGAAACCAATTTTGGGATGTACGTACGTACGTACGTTCAGACGGACAAGGGTAAAACTTAATGCCCCCTCTGCTACGGCAGGGGCATAAAAATATTATATGTCTCTGCTAGTATAATCAGGGACACATAATACAATAATATTGTATTATATGTCTCTGGTATAATATATTTTTTTATATATATTTGTATATTCTTGGACAAATTATATATATTAAGTATACAATGGTCAGGTCTATGAACAAGATAAAAAATATGACATTATATTTTATTCTAGGTAGATGTAAAAAAAAAAAATTCTAAACTTGTCTGACTGAAAATTTTGAGCGTTAGAATGATAAATACAAAATTTATTTTTTTATGTTAATCAAATATTCACTGATTTTTTTTTTAAGATCTTTTGAACATTCAACTGAGTCGGTATCTTTTATTTCCTTGAGAACTCAGTAGAGATAGGAATGTGCTTATTTTTCATTTATGTTCCTTGATATATAATACAAAGTAAATACATCACATGATGCACTAGTCTCGCTGAAATTATCAAATCATGCAGTAAAGCTGACTGCGAGATTTAGGCTGTAACTGTTGTTAGTGTAGCAATAAGTGAACATAACAGTGGTCCAGTTTAGTCTATCCTTTACATTGATATACCAAGTTGACCAAGTTGGCTCATATAGCACTTTAGTATCCATGTTTTGTCTTTATCTATTTTACGCACTAGGTACCTTCTTTTGAGTTTTTTTTCCCTACCTTATTTATATTTATATGTTGATTCAATACATGTTTATATAAAAAAGCTTTTATATAAATGTAACATAATCTGTTGATACAGCCTCATGTTGATGGTATATGATGACACTAATTGAATAAATTATTCCTGACAGTTCATGATAGCAGTTCTCACCAAACAGCAGAGTATCACACCAAAAACATGATTACATATTAAAACCAAATCAACACACCTACAACTTCTGTACTTTAAATGCTGTGTTAGTGTGAATGTATCAGTTATGTAAATACTTTCACTCTTTTAGAAACTTTAAGCATTACCCATTTATGAACTTTTTTCTTAAATTATTCACGAGGTGAGATCTGAAAATGGGAGTGTTCTAGAAATCTTCCCCATTATTCAGTTTAAAAATTCAATTAACCTTCAAATTTTGCTTTTGCAAGTTTGGTACCTTGTTTCTTCTATCACCTTACTAAAAAGTTCCCAAAAAGTTTAACAGTAAACCAAAATCTCAACCAGCCTTTTTGCATTGACCCAAAAACAAGCCAAAGGGTACATTTATGTAAAACATGACATCCATTCCAATTCCCATTCAAATTTGTAATTTCAACAGAAAATTAGGGGGTGGGGCAGAAAGATTTTGTGCAGATTAACAATTCATTTTCATCTGCTGCTATGCATGCTTATTTTTTTAATTTGGCTTTAGCTGAGCACACTAAAAGAATTAGCTTTTTTATTAAATGTTTTGACTTGAACTACAAAAATGTACATGTGTTTCATCTGAAAATTTTGTTTTTCTCTAAATAATACCTTTGATCTTTTCTTATCATCAAAGATTCTTCCATCTTTATACCATATAATGGATGGTTTAGGGTTGCCATTCACACCACAAGTTAATTTAACATCATTTCCTTCATTCTTGGTTACAATGGAATCACGCTGAGCTGGTCTGGATTTTGGTTTCCAACTTGGTGATGAATCTGAAATATAAAATCATTTATCATACCAATCATGTTTGTAAATATTCTTTTTTTGTGTAAATTTCAGCACTGATTTCAAATTTTTGGTTTGTGTTTTTAAAGAAGAATGGGCCAACAACCATTTTAGTCTTAAAGTATATGACTGCCATTGGCATATAAACAAGTACAAACAAATTTTACTGGATGATGATAACTAACGGTCAATAGAAGGTTCATCATAATTAAACAAGTAGAAACAAATAAGGACACTGTTTTTTGTTAAGATGACCCTTGTAATTCTATTAATATGGGATGAAAGGTTGACAAAGTGCTGTGTGTGTATCTGTTGTATTCTATGAAAGGTTGACAAAGTGCTGTGTGTGTATCTGTTGTGTTCTATGAAAGGTTGACACTGCACGTTATATGTTAATGGTGTACCAATGATCTGAGCAAGTGCTGTTTGTATATCTATTGTGTTCTATGAAAGGTTGACAAAGTGCTGTGTGTGTATCTATTGTGTTCTATAAAAGGTTGAAAAAGTGCTGTTTGAGCATCTATTGTGTTCTATGAAAGGTTGACACTACAGATTGTATGTTATTTGTGTACCATTGATCTGAGCAAGTGCTGTTTGTGTATCTATTGTGTTCTATGAAAGGTTGACAAAGTGCTGTGTGTGTATCTATTGTGTTCTATGAAAGGTTGACAAAGTGCTGTGTGTGTATCTATTGTGTTCTATGAAAGGTAGACAAAGTGCTGTGTGTGTATATGTTGTGTTCTATGAAAGGTTGACACTACACACTGCATGTTGTATGCTGTTTGTTCAACTCTGGTCTGAGCAAGTGCTGTTTGTGTATCTATTGTGTTCTTTGAAAGGTTGACACTGCACGTCGTATGCTGTTTGTTCAACTCTTGTCTGAGCAACTTCTGTTTTTGTATCTGGTATGTTCTATGAAAGTATAGTTTGTTTACTTTTTGCCTCTATTTTCATGTTGTTTGTTGGAGTCTGAGCAAGTGTTGTTTGTGTGTTTGTACAGTTGTTTTTGTATCTTATTTGGTTGACAAAGTCTTGTTTAAAAAAGTGTAGGGGTATACAAAACAGATTTTTTTCATGTTTTGTCAAAATGTAGTTATAATATACTTTTCCAAAAAAATAAAATAAAAATTAAAGGTTGTGAAAAAATGACACCAGATATATAGATCATACAGCATTACATTTCTAAGCAACTGTTGTTTGTTTACTGTTCTTTGATGTTTTTTAACTGTTTTTTGTTGGTCTGACCAAGTACTGAATGTTAACTGTTGTTGTTTTGTTCAGTTCCGAGCAAGTGTTGTTCTGTTCTGAGTAAATGTTGTTTGTTTACTGTTTTGTTTGAATTGTTTTTGTTGTTTTTTCTGGTCTGAACAAGTGTTGTTTGTTTACTGTTGTTGTTTTTAAATGTTTTCCATTATTCTTTTTTCTGAGCAAGTGTTGTTTGTTTAATGTTTTTTATTGTTCTGTTCTGGTCTGATCAAGTGTTTCTTGTTTACTGTTGTTTTTATCAAATGTTTTGTGTTGCTCTGTTTTGTTCTGAGCAAGTGTTGTTTGTTTACTGTTGTTTTTATCAAATGTTTTGTGTAATTCTGTTCTGAGCACGTGTTGTTTGTTTAACTGTTGTTTTCCATTTATGTTTATGTATCGATTGTTGTATGTTTAAAGTTATATGTCAGAGTGGTATTGTAATCTGTAATAGATTGTATAAACATCTAAATACATTCATCTTATAAAACATGTAATTATCTTAACGGATAAAGCAGCATTCAAAATCAATATTTCATTTCTTTTTTTTTTTTAATTCAAGAGTATATCTTTTACTTAGAAATTGTGTAATCAGAAATTTCTTTGACTTCTAACAACGATATCCAGCATTATTCAATAGAATAATCTGTATTCTCTGCAGTTATCTATTCTTCCCTTATTTAAACATTTCTATTTTAATCAAGAAATGCAAAGAGTAAAAACATCAAAAGGAAACAAAGGTAAAAGAAATATCAAATCAATATACTGATAAAAATGAAAGATGTAATAAAATGCTCCGCAGGGCGCAGCTTGATACGACCGCAGAGGTCGAACCCTGAACAGTTGGGGCAAGTATGGACACAACATTCAAGCTTGATACAGCTCTGAATTTGGATTGTGATTAAATATTTGACACAGCATAGGTTTCTGACACAGAATGAATGTGGTCTAAGAACTTAAAAATTTTAAATTGGACATTCACCTATTATGGTCCAATATCCAAAATCTAAATACATGGTTAGATTCAGCATATCAAAGAACCCCAAGAATTCAATTTTTGATGAAATCAAACAAAGTTTAATTTTGGACCCCGATTTGGACCAACTTGAAAACTGGGCCCATAATCAAAAATCTAAATACATGTTTAGATTCAGCATATCAAAGAACCCTAAAAATTCAATTTTTGTTAAAATCAAACTAAGTTTAATTTTGGACCCTTTGGACCTTAATGTAGACCAATTTGAAAACAGAACCAAAAATTAAGAATCTAAATACACGGTTAGATTCGGCATATCAAAGAACCCCAATAATTCAATTTTTGATGAAATCAAACAAAGTTAAATTTTGGACCCTTTTGACCTCAATGTGGACAAAGTTGATAACGGGGCCCAAAAATCAAAAATCTAAATACATGGTTAGATTCAGCATATCAAAGAACCCCATATATTCAATTTTTGTTGAAATCAAACAAAGTTTAATTTTGGACCCCGATTTGGACCAACTTGAAAACTGGGCCCATAATCAAAAATCTAAATACATGTTTAGATTCAGCATATCAAAGAACCCTAAAAATTCAATTTTTGTTAAAATCAAACTAAGTTTAATTTTGGACCCTTTGGACCTTAATGTAGACCAATTTGAAAACGGAACCAAAAATTAAGAATCTAAATACACGGTTAGATTCAGCATATCAAAGAACCCCAATAATTCAATTTTTGATGAAATCAAACAAAGTTAAATTTTGGACCCTTTGGACCTCAATGTGGACCAATTTAAAAACGGGGCCCAAAATCCAAAAACTTAATACACGGTTAGATTCAGCATATTAAAGAACCCCAAGAATTCAAGAATAAAACCCCATTGAAATTGATCAAGAAATAAGCAATTTATACGAAGTATCTTCTTTTGCACAATACTGTGCAATTGAATATTTCTTGCTATTGCGCAATACTGTACAATTGACAATTTCTTGCTATTGCGCAATATTGTGCTATTGGATATTTCTTGCTATTGCACAATACTGTGCAATTGAAGATTTCTTGCTATTGCGCAATACTGTGCAATTGAAGATTTCTTGCTATTGTGCAATACTGTGCAATTGAAAATTTCTTGCTATTGCACAATACTTATTAGATAATAATTTACACATCCTGTTTGGTGTGTATCTCCTACCATATCATTATTATTTGCTTTTAAATATTAATCAGAAATAACCAACTTAAAATGGAAAATTTTAAAAGAAAAAAAAAAGGAAAAAAAGAAAAAAAAAGAAAAAAAAAATCCCCCCCCCAAATTTTTTGAACCCCCTTATGATTCATCACCCCCAAACTCAATCCCAGCCTTCCCTTTGTGGTATGGTACCTTGCAGTACAATTTCAGAGAGATCCATACACTTGAACACAAGTTATTGTCTGGAAACTAGAAAAATGCTTATTTTTGGCCCCTTTTTGGCCCCCAATTCCTAAACGTTTCGGGGAATTACCCCCAAACTCAATTCCAGCTTTCCCTTTGTGATATGGAACCTTGTAGTACAATTTCAGAAATATCCAAACACTTACACACAAGTTATTGTCATGAAACTAGAAAAATGCTTGTTTTTTGCCCCTTTTTTGGCCCCTAATTCCTTAAATTTTGAGGCAATTACCCCCAAAATCAATTACAGCCTTTCCTTTGTGATATGGAACCTTGTGGTACAATGTCAGAGAGATCCATACACTTACACACAAGTTATTGTCTGGAAGTTACAAAAATGCTTATTTTTGGCCCCTTTTTGGCCCCTAATTCCTTAACTGTTGGTACCATAACCCCCAAAATCAATCCCAACCTTCCTTTCGTGGTATTGAACCTTATGGTAAAATTTCATGGAGATCCATTCACTTAAACTAAAGTTAGAGTGCGAAAACCAATGTGTCTTCGGACGACGCCAGACGACGACGACGACGACGACGACGACGCCGGACGACGACGACGCCAACGTCATACCAATATACGACCAAAAAATTTTTAATTTTTGCGGTCGTATAAAAAGCGGATTGATAAAGCAATGATAACTGGATTTCCTTTTTAAGTACACTTGCAAAATTGTTAACTGACGTACTAAAGCAATATAATGCACTCTTTTTTGACTGCAAATAATTTTTTTTTAGTAAAATCAACAAGAAGCACGCCATAGCAATATTTCAAACTGCAGCCCCCATGTCCAAATCTTGCATATATAATAGCTAAATTTATTCAACAATTAAATAAACCATACCAAATTTTCACAAATACCTGACAGAATGATTCCAATTAATGAGAAAATGAGATAAACAGCATATGATTTTCATTTGACCTGCATGTATATACATGTTTATTCTTTTAGAGAAGGTTTCAAAGACATTGAAATACCTTTTTGTTTAATGCCTAAAGACTAAATTAAACTCTCATTTTGCAACATTTTAAGGCAAATTAACTGTTTCCATGGATACACAAAAAGATTACAATTGAGAGTTTTAAGTATTGGAAATCATATCTTTAAAATATCTTAATTATATACATATCTAAATTTATATGGCACTAATATTTATATCAAACTGCATATGATGTTAGAAGTCTCCTCTTAGCTGTCTTATCCAAAGTATATCAGATGATGTTAGAATAGAAGTCTCCTCTTTGCTGTCTTATCAAAAGTATATCAGATGATGTTAGAATAGAAGTCTCCTCTTGGCTGTCTTATCCAAAGTATATCAGATGATGTTAGAATAGAAGTCTCCTCTTTGCTGTCTTATCCAAAGTATATCAGATGATGTTAGAATAGAAGTCTCCTCTTTGCTGTCTTATCCAAAGCATATCAGATGATGTTAGAATAGAAGTCTCCTCTTTGCTGTCTTATCCAAAGCATATCAGATGATGTTAGAATAGAAGTCTCCTCTTAGCTGTCTTATCCAAAGTATGTCAGATGATGTTAGAATAGAAGTCTCCTCTTTGCTGTCTTATCCAAAGTATATCAGATGATGTTAGAATAGAAGTCTCCTCTTTGCTGTCTTATCCAAAGCATATCAGATGATGTTAGAATAGAAGTCTCCTCTTTGCTGTCTTATCCAAAGCATATCAGATGATGTTAGAATAGAAGTCTCCTCTTAGCTGTCTTATCCAAAGTATGCCAGATGATGTTAGAATAGAAGTCCCCTCTTTGCTGTCTTATCCAAAGCTTATCAGATGATGTTAGAATAGAAGTCTCCTCTTAGCTGTCTTATCCAAAGTATATCAGATGATGTTAGAATAGAAGTCTCCTCTTAGCTGTCTTATCCAAAGTATATCATATGATGTTAGAATAGAAGTCTCCCCTTTGCTGTCTTATCCAAAGCATAACAGATGATGTTAGAATAGAAGTCTCCTCTTAGCTGTCTTATCCAAAGTATGTCAGATGATGTTAGAATAGAAGTCTCCTCTTAGCTGTCTTATCCAAAGTATGTCAGATGATGTTAGAATAGAAGTCTCCTCTTTGCTGTCTTATCCAAAGTATATCAGATGATGTTAGAATAGAAGTCTCCTCTTTGCTGTCTTATCCAAAGCATATCAGATGATGTTAGAATAGAAGTCTCCTCTTTGCTGTCTTATCCAAAGCATATCAGATGATGTTAGAATAGAAGTCTCCTCTTTGCTGTCTTATCCAAAGCATATCAGATGATGTTAGAATAGAAGTCTCCTCTTAGCTGTCTTATCCAAAGTATGTCAGATGATGTTAGAATAGAAGTCTCCTCTTTGCTGTCTTATCCAAAGCTTATCAGATGATGTTAGAATAGAAGTCTCCTCTTAGCTGTCTTATCCAAAGTATATCAGATGATGTTAGAATAGAAGTCTCCTCTTAGCTGTCTTATCCAAAGTATATCAGATGATGTTAGAATAGAAGACTCCTCTTAGCTATCTTATCCAAAGTATATCAGATGATGTTAGAATAGAAGTCTCCTCTTTGCTGTCTTATCCAAAGTATATCAGCAACAAAAATGAGGTCATATAAATGACAAATTATTTTCCACTCCGTTTACAATTAATAAATTCTGCATTGGCAAACATCCCAAAATGAAGAAATGGCAATCATCCCCATGTGTAGAAATGACAAACATGCCCATGTGTAGAAATGGCAAACATTCCCATGTGTAGAAATGGCAAACATGTCAATGTGTAGAAATGGCAAACATCCCAATGTGAAGAAATGGCAAACATCCCCATATGTAGAGATGGCAAACATCCCCATGTATAGAAATGGCAAACATCCCCATGTATAGAAATGGCAAACATCTCCTTGTGTAGAAATTGCAAACATTCCCATGTGTAGAAATGGCAAACATACCCATGTTTAGAAATGGCAAACATCCCCATGTATAGAAATGGCAAACATCTCCTTATGCAGAAATTGCAAACATCCCCATGTGTAGAAATGGCAAACATCCCCATGTATAGAAATGGCAAACATCCCCATGTATAGAAATGGCAAACATCCCCATGTGTAGAAATGGCAAACATCCCCATGTGTAGAAATGGCAAACATCCCCATGTGTAGAAATGGCAAACATCCCCATGTGTAGAAATGGCAAACATTCCCATGTGTAGAAATGGCAAACATCCCCATGTTTAGAAATGGCAAACATCCCCATGTATAGAAATGGCAAACATCTCCTTATGCAGAAATTGCAAACATCCCCATGTGTAGAAATGGCAAACATCCCCATGTATAGAAATGGCAAACATCCCCATGTATAGAAATGGCAAACATCCCCATGTGTAGAAATGGCAAACATCCCCATGTGTAGAAATGGCAAACATCCCCATGTGTAGAAATGGCAAACATCCCCATGTGTAGAAATGGCAAACATCCCCATGTATAGAAATGGCAAACATCCCCATGTATAGAAATGGCAAACATCCCCATGTATAGAAATGGCAAACATCCCCATGTGTAGAAATGGCAAACATCCCCATGTGTAGAAATGGCAAACATCCCCATGTGTAGAAATGGCAAACATCCCCATGTGTAGAAATGACAAACATCCCCATGTGTAGAAATGGCAAACATCCCCATGTGTAGAAATGACAAACATCCCCATGTGTAGAAATGACAAACATCCCCATGTGTAGAAATGGCAAACATCCCCATGTGTAGAAATGGCAAACATCCCCATGTGTAGAAATGACAAACATCCCCATGTATAGAAATGGCAAACATCCCCATGTGTAGAAATGACAAGGATAATTGTGTACCAAGTTTGCTTTCTGTTTATCTAAAGATTCCAGAAGTTATCATTGTTAAAGTTTCATTTTGATCATCAATTGACAAAATGAAATCCTTCTTTTTAGCCATTTTACACAAGTTACAACAATTGTTGTTCTAATATCTATTCCTATAAGTCCTGTGTTCATTTTACCCAATAAAGAAGACCAAATTATCAAATGACAACAGTAAGCTAAAAAATAAGACATATAACAGCCCACATAAAAGCTGCTGCACACAGATCATACAATTACCTTCATTTTCATGCTTTTCATCTGTAAATGTTTATAAAAACTGATTCATTTCTATGACAATTTATACAAAAGCACACAATCAGTTCAAATTGGTTAAACTATACATGTTGTAGTTCAAAAAGTGTGTTTACCCTAAAAATTACAAAAAAAACTAGTCTTTGTGTGTTCCCTACTTTAGAAAACAAACAAATCTAAAATAATAAAGATTGTAAATAGAAATTGTATAGTGTTCTCTAACATGCAATATCCAACCTAAGTTTTCCAATAAATACTATCAATTTTGACTTATCTTTTGAGAACAGGCTTTTAAAAATCAATTTTGTTATTTACCAATTTTCTAAAACATGGATGATATATAGTCTGCTATAAACTGCAGAAAAAAGCTGGCATTTCACAGTTCATTATCACCCTATATCAAACTGATTAAAGCATTTAATAACAGGTATTATATAGTTTAATTATATTAAAAGCCACACATAATGAAGAATTACATTGTTCTTGATTTAGAAAATAAAATGTCATAAATTTGGTTTCCATGGGAATTCAATTTGCTTCCAAATTAGTATGGATATTTGGAGAAATATTTTTTAATTTAAAGGATTTTTTCATACAAAATTTAATTAAGTTGTATAATCACATTTTATAAATGAGTTTTCCAGGTTCAGTCGTTTAGAAAATTAAGTTATATGAAGAATGTTCATTGAATATCTATCTCCAATCCCCAACAGATCCAATCTACCTACAAAAACAATTACATATGGAATTGACCAACTAGGGATTTTAACTATAAAAATTATGCTTTTACAAAAAATGTGTTAAATTATTATTAAGGTGACTCTCTCATGATTGATCAGTTAGACTAGGGTTCTGAAGAACTTGGAGGACTCTTGGATTAATTCTATGTTGTCTGAAGTACCAATCTGATTACTGAGATCTTAAGGGGTATACATCAATAAGACAGCAACCCAATAACTCAAATTCATGTTTCCTGTGTAATAACATTTCTCTGTTTTGTCATTAGTTATTTCTAGGTCACAAGACAACACAAACAACTGTATTGCTGCCTGACCTCTACCAATAAACAAACAAAGAGAAACAAAACAAATAAATAAACCTTCAACATCTTATGATATAAACACATTAGGAGGTCCCAGACAGGGATTATTTAGGCAAACACTCCAATGTGCATATCTCATTAAAATTCTACTATCAATTGTTTTCATAACACAGTATGCATGTGTGTGCAACTGTTGCATAAAATCAAATGCATATGTTAAAGTAGTGAAGAAATCTGCATTAAGAAATGCAAGGTATGATAGTAGTTGTTCTTATCATGAAACACATAGGTTGTAGAATCAAACTGTGACGAATTTAACAGAAGACATTTATCAAGGCTTTTACATGCACATCTGGCAACATTTAATGCAAGATTTATCAGTAAAGTAGTGTTGATGCAGTCAGCAGGGCCCTTTATACAACAGCGTTTTTAAGCTTTTAATGAATATTGCACAATGAAATTTTAATTTAAAAAACATGGTGTGCTGTCCCATTAATGCTTATATCTTGAGAGTTAAACCATTGTGTATACATATACAAAGTGTTTTCCCTACCAAGAAAAGCTGAATTCTAGCTGTAACCTTTCTCTATACTTGGTTTGGGAAATGATGGTTTACAACTCAAATAAATATTAAGGTATTCATTTTACTATTTTGATAAAGGTTAAAACATTTTAAAAATATTTGGTGAGGAATGCATGTATGCTAAAAATGAGGACTACACAATGAACATAATTATCAGACCCTTAAAGGCAAACTAGCATACTCTCCCCCCTCCCCCCCCCCCCCCCCCCCAAAAAAAAAGAACTATCAGACTCAAAGAAGGCATGCATAAATAGACCCCACAAAAAAGCCCAAAGTACAGAGACCGTATAGCGGGTTATTTTCGCGGGTGTAAAATTTCGCGATTTTCATTGAATAAGGTAAATGAAATATTTTGGTGATTATTATTTTGGCGGATTCAAAACTTTTCTCAATACCTTTGCATGTGCACTTTTAAATTGTGGAATTTATTTTGGCGATTTTGTTCCATCCGCGAAATAAAGCGAAAATAACCCGCTATACGGTATATCAGACTCGAGGAAGGTAGGCTATCTTTAAGCCCAGATTCAAGGAGGGCAAGTTATCTTTAAACCCAAAGAACAAACTATCAGATTCAAGGATTGATATATTCATTGTACTATTGACTATATGGTGGCAGCCAGTTTTTATTGGTGAAGTAAGCTGGAGTTGCTAGAGATAACAACAAATCTTCAGCAGGAAAAATGGCAATCCAACGCACTGCCAGGTGTGGGGTTCCAACTCATAACCTCAGTATTGACAGGTTATAGTGATACAGTAGATGAACTAATTAGACCATTCCTCCACCTAGGCCCCTAAATTCATAGAAGATAAGCTTATCTATAAACAGAAAGAACAGAACAGAAAAAGACTGAAATATGGAAACCCAGACACACTTCTGGACTTTTCTAGATAAACACTAAAAACATCATCTCTTTTTATAATATTCAGCATGAATGCTGACAAACTGACCTTAATGAAATGAGATATGAAGAGTTTGATTAATATATCAGAATGTATTGTTACTGGTTTTAATTTGGAAAGGGGGTGAAAGGATTTTTACTCACTCTGTGTCAATATACAGTACCATCTGAAGTAAACAACCATTTCAGGCTATATAAAATCAATTGTTTACTTTTTTACCCAACATGTTTGGTACTACATATCCTCATTGTGTTTGGTAATAACATCAGAAATATTTTTTTTTTTTTTATAGTGTTCAACAATTCAACTCTTGATTTGTGGGATGATGAACATTTTATAAAAAAAGAATCTTCACACATTTTCTTTCAGAATGATTCTATCTAGTATATATCATTTATTGTTAGTCAACAGAGTCTGGCAACAGATCTACATAAAACAAAAGAGGATTCCCAAAGGGTAAAAAACATTAATGGTCAGGAAATACAATACAGAAAAACAATTGAAAACTACACTTTTGAAGTTAAAAGGATTATTTTCTCTGAACAATAATCAAATTGATGAAATTTGTTTTGCCCATTAGATTGAAAGGAACTTAATTATTGAAGTATTTTCCACACTAAACACATAAGTTTATAAATCAGATCTCGACAATAGGCTGTTCAAATAACAGCAAACCAGGTTATTCTTACATTTATAAGTGTCATCATGACCTCATTTTGTCATGTGAAACTACATATATAATTTGAAAAGGACTGATCAAGCATCTCAAGTTATCACGTAAAATCTAAAATGACATCAAGTCATTTTCCATTCAATCAAGGACCATAACCTCTAATTGGCACAAGTGAAAATCATCAATATCCAACTTGACCTTTATTATGAAATGAAAAAAAAAAATGAAATTAAAAACCATTGGTTAAATGGTTATCGAAAGGAAAATAAAGTGTTATTTCCCAATTAATTACACCTTATAAAGAATGCCTGATTTTGATTGGTTGTTAGCCACTGTATTTTTCGCATATTCTAACATTTTTTCCTCATTTCAAACGAATTTGCCTGTTTTTTCACCACTGCCGGTGAATTTGCCTCAAATTCCCCTCTCTGCCGTGGTATTTGCCATTTTGGATATTCCTTTTTTACCCTCGCGAGCCTGTTCCCGCCAAAATTATTCGGAACCTTTCTCACTTTATCCAGCCAACATGGTTAAGCACTATTGATTGAGTTAAACCGAAAACTGTCAGAAATATACATATAAAGAGGGGAAAAAAATGTCTATACAAATGAACGATTTAATAATCGAATAACAATGACGTTTACACATAAATATACCATGACGTTACAAAAAGACAGCACTAACATATAAGTACATGTATAATTCCCGCGGTACTACGATTTCCATTCACATGTACAGACAGTTTCAATCAAAATCTATTCGGTGTAATTAAACAGATCTATCATGTTATGGAGGGGTATTTGCGAAAAATACCAGTCTTGGGACCAAATTTTCCTCGCCTAGTGGCTTGGGAAATTTCACTGTCCCTTGACTGGTATTTTTAGCAAATACCCCTCCATAACATGATATATCTGTTCACAATCAAGGGATATAACCTATGAACAATAAAAGCATCAAACTGTCAATATTGAACTTGACCTTTATTTTATCAAGGAGGTTGTATGAGAAGGAGAGTGCACACTCTACTTGATATAAAATTAAATAAGAATCCCCAGGATAACAATTCGATCAGATGAAAATGATGAAAATATAAAGATACCGACATGTTTATCACCAACTTGATATGACCCTCTAATGTACCAGGCTGTTACCGGGAACAGTCCGTGTGATTAAGAAAATTGCTACTGTCACATGATTGTAATCTATGACTGGGTTATTAAAATACAGGTGTAATTATCGTAACAATTCAATTTACAGGTGTTAATACTGTGCAAAAGCATTTTAACGGAAAATTCTAAAGTGTATCGTCTAACTACGGTTGAAAACGACCAAGAAATGACAAAGTTTTTACGACCCCAAAACATCTATGATACAAACCCGGTGATCCGGTGTGTATTTTGTTATAGCCTGGGACCCTGGCCAAACCTCCACTTCACGTAAGTACATGTAAGTCGATTTATCCATGGAAGTATTATATTGACTTGATATTACTTCCATGATTGATCACAGGCGTATTTTGTAATATCTTGGTCGGTTTATAACACTTCGGGTGTTTCCGTTCTTACTCAGATGTGTTATCAGGACAAAGTCTACCTCTGCAACCGAATCGATCTCAACTAATTAACACCCACTTACCGAAAAGGCGGTATCATTTTATGTGTAATTATCTTCTTTCGTGCACTCTCCTTCTCATACAATCTCCTTGATTTTATCATAAGGAACAACATATTCAAAAAATTTGAAAGCATTGGTTGAAGAGTTCTCAAGTCATAATTGCATGGAAACAACTAAGTGTGCCTTTTTCCATAAAATCAGGGACCATTTCAATCACTAACAAGAGGCTGTCAGAGTGACAGCAAACCAGATTTTCCTGCATGAAAATGATATTTGCAAAACTGGACCCCCAAACAGGATCAAGTAAAAATTAAACATCAATACACCCAACAAAAATAAAATACCACATAACAACTGTAACATCTACCTTCAAAACACACATGACTTAAAAAAAATAGTTATAAAGAAATTTTTGACAACTCCTGACTAAAATCAATTGAACAGATACAATCATTGATAGACTATCTATCCATATACTTATTAATTACACCATTTCTGTTCAAAGGGAAATAACTCAAAATAAAATAAATCATATAATAAATATCACTTTTCGCTACTGAAAGGTCTACAACTCAACAACGAGAAAAGCTAAAATCGTGAAAATTGAACTTGACCTTCATTTTGTCACAGGAAACAATGTATCTAAATTTGAAAAGATTTCGTCAAAGCAATTTTCATGTTAATGAACGGACACTGTTTGGCGGCTGCCCGCCTGCCATACATCCCCAAATCAATAACTGATTTTTCCTTTGAAAATCCGGCTAAAAATGGATTTTCTGCCAGAAAACCTACTTAAAATTTATAGACTTTCTAAATCTTTCCAGCTAGGCTAGGTTCTGGATAAAGAGGAATTATGTTTTCCTATACTTTTTACTAACCTTATTTCTGATTGATATATAAAGTTTCATTTTTCTTATGCTAAACAATGTAGGATCATATCAATTTTCATGGAAATACATTTAAGTGACCCAATTAGCTTCACACCTAATTTTAACTCCCACTTTACATGTACATAAAATTTCTTCTGGAACATTCTAACTTACATTTAAAGCATATCTTGACCCACAGAAATAGAAAGTGCATGACCTTTTTGTGTCACTCTAAAGTATAAATAGTAGAGTTTATAGTATACATCTTTTGAATTTTCCCCCTATAAATTTGATATAAATCAGATTTTTTTTTTGCGGTCGTATAAAAACCTATTGCCCCCTTATCTATCCTCTCTAATATCTACCTTACAGTTACCTCAGAACAGATGCTGAGTTTCTTGTCTTTAGGATGATAGATATTTCTACAACATTAACACTTGATCCATACTCAGTCATAATTTACATAAGTAATAAACAAACAACAGGGCTTGTATATTTCAATCATATACAAGGAGGCAGACCTTGCAGATGTGAAACATTAATGGGTACAACATTCTGGAGGGCAGAGACCCTCTCAATGAAAAGTCAATTATCAGCTGTACCAAAAAATGAAGCAGTTGTCCCTTCAATTAATTTTTTCTTCACAACAGCTTTAATTTGGCTTTAATTATTGAACTAGAACAAAGTATACCTCTATAAGGCCTTTGCATCCCAAATAAAAATATTCAAACAATTCACTAACATGACTATGTTGTTGGGTTACAATATTTTTCTATATTTGAATTCAAGTTTATTACATGAACTATTTATACAATGTATATAAGTATACAATGCTAGTAACTATATATTTTTTACAGTTTAGAATTTTGTTAACAAATTTTGTAGACAATGTGGACATTGTGCCTAGTTTACATATAACACAAAATAAATGTAGTTAAAGAACTTGAAATTGGTTATATGATTTGAATTTATATTCAATTGAGGATTTCTTGCTTTTGTGCAATACACTGTGCTGTTGCACAATACTTAGTAAATCTGTTTTCAGACTATATACAAAGAATTAGCAAAATAAATTGTGACCCCAAAAAAATATAACGTTTGAAGAAATTTTCTTTTCGTACAATAAGGTACAATTTAAGAGACATCAGTACACATAAACACAAGTTATTGTCTGAAAACTAGAAAAATATTTGTTTTAGACCCTTTTTAGCCCCTAATTCCTGAATGGTTTGGGCAATTACCCCATGAATCCCAACCTTCTACTTGTGGTATTGAACCTTGTGGTACAATTTCAGAGCAATCAAAATACTTATACACAAGTTATTGTCCTGAAACTAGAAAAATGCTTGTTTTGGGCACCTTTTTGGCCCCCTAATTTCCTAAACGGTTGGGACCATCACCCCCAAAAACAATCCCAACCTTCCTTTTGTGGTATTGAACCTTTTGTTTAATTTCATAGAGATCCATACACTTAAACTAAAGTTATTGTCTGAAAACCAAATGTCTTCGGACGACAACAACGCTGACGACGACGTGATAGCATTATATGACCCCAAAATATTTTTGCGGTCGTATAAAAATTGATGTCTGATTTTTCACTAATCTTTCTGTAATACTAGAATAAAATAAAATCCTAACATTTATATAATGAAACACCTGAAAATAATATCATGTAAATGCCAAATCTTAATTTAGAACCAAGATAGTCATATGTTACAACACAAATTATATTTTGGCACAAAACCAATCATATTTTTTTTAAGTTTGTCTGTTTGCATTGATAATTGGATATATATCTCACCTCATAAAAACTAAAAAGTAAAACATTCACAGAAAGTTTGTCTCACTTACGCTTTTGTGATAAAATTCCTGTCCAACTAATTATTACCATCAAAGAAAACAAGTATAGATCAGATAACTTCAGATCCATGTTGGAATGCCTGTACTGGTATCCTGTTGATGTTAGAGCTGGCTATAAAACTACCATTGGTGTTCTTATGGAATAATTGTACCTGCAAACATCAGTGAAAACATGTTATTTACAAATTGTTTGTTCTTTCTGAAAATAATTTTTTCTGCTGAAGTTAGTGCTATATAAAAATATTCTAACTGAAGTTAGTGCTATATAAAAATATTCTAAGAAAGATGTGTCCAAGAAAGATTTTTATTGGTTCTAATTCATTTTTCCTTACATAATCATCAAGTTCTATATTCTGTAACTTGAGCCTTAGTGAATTTCACAGTTTGTTCTGTGCTGTTACATCATTGTCCCAGGTTATGGAGAGAGTAAGCCCTGACATATTGTTTAAGTGCCTGTCCCCTGACAGGAGTCTGTAATTCAGTGGTTGTCTTTTGATGTTGCAGTATATGTTTTTCATTAAATTTTTTCCCCATAAATCAGGCTGTTGGTTTTCTCTTTGGAACTGTTTCACAATTTGTTCATGTTGGTGCCTTTCACAGCCAACAAATTATACTGTTCAGATTTTTATTATTTTGAATGCCTTACAGTGAGCTATGGTCATTTACATCCTCATATTTTGGTCTTCATGGATAGTTGTCTCATTGACAATCATTAAACAACTAAAAAAAATTCTTTAGTCTTATACTCTAAGGTAAGGTCCATCAAAAGATAGCACATCTACAGGGTCCTGTTCAGGCTTTTACCATAGGCAGTCTCATACTTCAATGTAAGGTCCATTAAAAGATCACACATCTACAGATCATTGTTCAGACTTTTACATTATTGCTAAAGTCTCATTATTCAATGTAAGGTCCATTAAAAGATCACACATCTACAGATCATTGTTCAGACTGTTTCAATTGCTAAAGTCTCATTATTCAATGTAAGGTCCATTAAAAGACCACACATCTACAGGTCATTGTTCAGACTGTTACAATTGCTAAAGTCTCATTATTCAATGTAAGGTCCATTAAAAGACCACACATTAACAGGTCATTGTTCAGACTGTTACAATTGCTGAAGTCTCATTATTCAATGTAAGGTCCATTAAAAGACCACACATTAACAGGTCATTGTTCAGACTTTTACAATTGCTAAAGTCTCATTATTCAATGTAAGGTATTTAAAAGACCACACATCTACAGGTCATTGTTCAGACTGTTACAATTGCTAAAGTCTCATTATTCAATGCAAGGTCCATTAAAAGACCACACATTAACAGGTCATTGTTCAGACTGTTACAATTGCTAAAGTCTCATTATTCAATGCAAGGTCCATTAAAAGATCACACATCTACAGTTCATTTTTTGGACATCTACAATCAGCAAAGTCTCATACTTCAAGGTCAGTTTCCACCAAAACAGACTACTACAGACCATCACAGAGCTTGTTTTGGTTTTGGCTTGATGTTAAATTTGGATATGAAAGGTAGTAGTGACTGTCATGTTGAAATAGTTTTTCAAACAGCTGGAACCTTTTTTAGAACTTTGCCAGTAATTTACAATATTTACATGATAAAAGTTGGACAATCCCACAACATTAAACTTTGATGAAGTTCAATACCTGGCTAAGTTCCATGATACAAACTTATCTTTATGTACAACCAAGCACAGACTTTATGGAATTTCAATATTTTCCCCAAGTCAGTAGTAATCAGATTGGCACTTTAAACAAGGGAGATAGCAATTAGAACACTGTTTTAGATTTCTAGGAAATTTGCCAGTATTATTTATGATTTTTTTCAGTGTAAAACTTCCTCCATAGCACACCTTCCAAATGCCAACCAAAAAGTAATTATTGCTTTATATGGTGTCATTCTGCTAGGAGTTGTTATAACTTATTGATTGTTTTATTTGTTCATGTAAAAGGCAATTTATCCCTAATTATATAAACAAAATTCATCTGATCAAATTTCTCATCAATAGTTAAAAGATTTACTTCCTACATTTATTTTAAAATACTTGGGACAAAATAGGCTAAAATTTTGCATTTTTATAAAACTTCAAATCCTTAAATAACACTGAAAAAACAAGGTTATTATCCTAGCATATTTTAAATCAAAAGTTCCAAAAATGTAAACTTAAAGTCAGATTAAATGCAAATTTAAAATGTTGTGTTAATCGTTTGAATATTTCATAAAACATTTATCCAACCCACACATATCTAGTTTATGTACATACAATTTATTGATAATTGCTTATCTTCGGGACTAAAAATACGAAATGGCCAATCCAATTTACAAGTTAGCAGTCAAGCAGATAAGGCAAATAGCCTCCTCAACAAATAAACAAAATAACACTTATTTTTACAGAATACCAGATTCCAGTAAATTTAAAGGACCAAATCACAGACAGAATTAATTCAAAATTATACAGATTCAAAGCATCCTTAAATTAACACATGAATTATTTTATTCCCAAATGATCAAATGCATGACTTAAAACTTCCAAAAATAATATATGTGACATTATATAGGCATTACACTATTCCCAGATAATAAACAGATAAACTCCCTGCATTAAAAATTTGAAAAATGGATTGCACCAGACCAGGCAGACTGTTCCCAAAAGAAAGTACTGAATGGTGGATGGATAGGGTTTGTAGCTAAATGATATTTCTATAACTGGTGACGATAAATGCAAAGTCAATGCTGGAAGTACTCTGCATTAATTCAAAGTATATTTAACAAAAGTTGTACTTTTAATCCTCTAGTTTATAATGTATATTTCCTAAAAAGTTGTATTGTGGTCAGTGATCAATCTGATCTGAAATTTAAATGGATGAAATCTAACTAATTAAGCAAGTTAGAAATCCCTTAAGCTTTCAAAATTACATAAAGTACACATTAAAAGTTTCCCCAGATATTATTCTTATATTGAAGACAAAGACTGGCAGATGTACATTTCAGATGCCAGGGGGTAATCTGCTCATGTCATCTCCTTATCATATACATGATCAACTGGACATAGGCCAAATAATGTGGTGTTGATGTATCTTTAATTAATTGTAACAAAAAGGTAGAAGGATCAAAGAAAAAAATAACTTGTCTTACTTTCAATTATATTCTACTTAAACTTTGGTCAAATTTCTAAACACCATAATTTGTTTCATATCAAAATATAGATAGTGATTCTATTGGACTTAATATTTCAATATATATCCAAGTTTTTTAGTTTATTATTTCCTGATCCATGAAGAACCAAGTTTATGTTTATATCAAAAATTCATAATACTGCAATATAGGTTTAACCACAATGTTCTTGAGTTAATCAATGAGTAAACTGGACCTATTCACTCACATCTTAAGTTTGTGGGTAACCACAATGTCATGGAGTTAATCAATGAGTAAACCTGACCTATTCACTCACATCTTATGTTTGTGGGTAACCACAATGTCATGGAGTTAATCAATGAGTAAACCTGACCTATTCACTCACATCTTATGTTTGTGGGTAACCACAATGTCATGGAGTTAATCAATGAGTAAACCTGACCTATTCACTCACATCTTATGTTTGTGGGTAACCACAATGTCATGGAGTTAATCAATGAGTAAACCTGACCTATTCACTCACATCTTATGTTTGTGGGTAACCACAATGTCATGGAGTTAATCAATGAGTAAACCTGACCTATTCACTCACATCTTATGTTTGTGGGTAAGGTGGTAATAACATCAACAAATACTTTCTGGTATTGTATCTTAAACAACCATCCTCTGTAAGTGATGTTATATGTTATCAAGGTCTAATATGAGTTGCCACAATGTTTATATTGGGTTTGAAAGTTGTCTATGTAAAAAATAAACTTCTCAAAGATTCAATCAACAGGAAGTGCATGTAGCCAGTCACAGTAAAATATTACTAATTATGTTTATCAAATAATAATCATACAAAAGTGCATTTATATCATGGTAGCCTACTATAACAAAAAGTTTACTTAACACTTGAAAAACGTACGGTAAAGATTTCCTTCACGGAGACATGAATGAGGAGAGGGGTCTCATATTACATCTCAATCACATGAATGAGGAGAGAGGGGTCTCATATTACATCTCAATCACATGAATGAGGAGAGAGGGGTCTCATATTACATCTCAATCACATGAATGAGGAGAGAGGGGTCTCATATTACATCTCAATCACATGAATGAGGAGAGAGGGGTCTCATATTACATCTCAATCACATGAATGAGGAGAGAGGGGTCTCATATTACATCTCAATCACATGAATGAGGACAGAGGGGTCTCATATTACATCTCAATCACATGAATGAGGAGAGAGGGGTCTCATATTACATCTAAATCACATGAATGAGGAGAGGGGTCTCATATTACATCTCAATCACATGAATGAGGAGAGAGGGGTCTCATATTAGATCTCAATCACATGAATGAGGAGAGCATACTACATCTCAATCACATGAATGAGGAGAGAGGGGTCTCATATTACATCTCAATCACATGAATGAGGAGAGGGGTCTCATATTACATCTCAATCACATGAATGAGGAGAGAGGGGTCTCATATTACATCTCAATCACATGAATGAGGGGAGAGGGGTCTCATATTACATCTCAATCACATGAATGAGAGAGGGGTCTCATATTACATCTCAATCACATGAATGAGGAGAGAGGGGTCTCATATTACATCTCAATCACATGAATGAGGAGAGAGGGGTCTCCTATTACATCTCAATCACATGAATGAGGAGAGGGGTCTCATATTACATCTCAATCACATGAATGAGGAGAGAGGGGTCTCATATTACATCTCAATCACATGAATGAGGAGAGAGGGGTCTCATATTACATCTCAATCACATGAATGAGGAGAGAGGGGTCTCATATTACATCTCAATCACATGAATGAGGACAGAGGGGTCTCATATTACATCTCAATCACATGAATGAGGAGAGGGGTCTCATATTACATCTCAATCACATGAATGAGGAGAGAGGGGTCTCATATTACATCTCAATCACATGAATGAGGAGAGCATATTACATCTCAATCACATGAATGAGGAGAGAGGGGTCTCATATTACATCTCAATCACATGAATGAGGAGAGGGGTCTCATATTACATCTCAATCTTCTTTTTTATGTTCGTTAACTTTTGTCATGATATTGATTTTTGGTTTAAAATAAGCCCTAAAAGGTCTTAATTTCCTCTTGTGATAATTTGTTTGACAATTCATTATCCTATGGGACTTGTATGAGCTCACTGTTGAATGTTGTAGTGACCTGTAGTTGCTTACATCCTTCTCCTTAAATCTTTGGTGGATAGCTGTTGTATTGGCATTCATACCACATCTCCTTACTTTTATGATAATCTTTTGTGGATAGTTGTCTTATTGCCATTTATACCACATTTCCTTATGTATGTAAAAATCTTTGGTAGTTTGTGGGTAGCTGTATTATTGGCATTTTTATACCACAATTCCTTATTTTTGTAATAATCTTTGGTGGATAGTTGTTGTATTGGCATTCATACCACATATCCTAATTTTTTTAGAATGGGAGATAACTCTAGTATCAAAAGAACAAACATCTGACAAATTATCATTGAAACTCACACAATTAAGATGAAATACTATCTTCTTGTGTAGCCATCTTCAAACGATTCTGTAAAGATAAATTTACAAATAAATAACAGATTAAGTGTCCAAAGTAAGGAAGTGTAATAAACTTTAATTTACAGACACACTTAAAGTCATTCTAAATTAGTCCCACTAGACATCAAAAGTAATCCTAACATCCATTCTCAAATCTACTGCTCAGCTTACACTCTATACACACCATATGTCATAATGTATTCAGCAGATAAGATGGAAATATATGTATCTATAATACAAAATAAATAAGAATCAAAATGATACATATGAAGCTTTTACATCTAAAGGCATTCAAATCGTGTTATAAACTAAATATTCATTATATCTATCCACAGATTCATAGTCACCATGCAACCTGGATGAGGAGAAACAGTAAACGAGAGTTTCACTTCAAAAAGTTGTGGACAGTTACACCATGATTTCATTAAATGTAATTTGATATTCTGCATGTATCATGCTTTATCCTAAATTAAGTCAAATTCCTGAAAGACCCTCCCAATCAAAGGCTCCTCCTAAATTATTGAAAGCTATCATATTGCCTTAGTTAAGCATGATATCTTGATTCCCATTGGACCAGCTGTTACACATGTAGCCAGGGGGAATGGGGGTTCACATGGAAACACCTTAAAACCTAAAATATTGTTATTAAAGTCAAGATTCAGATTGAAGTTTGACTATGTAAGTTTTCATAGCCCCAAATAATCCATATGAGAAATCCTGGCTACGTGCCTGAGCGGTGAACCTCAGGTGATATCTTTTCCACCCTTGCATCATACTAACTATAACAAATTATTTCATATCATACTGAATCATATGTACTCCATGAATTCCTTTATCATAAGCAATGATAAATGAAAACTTAGTCATGTAAACATTATCATGGGTAAAGGTGCTTCCATCAAAAACATGATGGTTTCTGTTATTTACTTCAATGTTAACATAAGAGATCAAACAGATAAGTTTCCATGGTAACTTATTGATGGTTAGGTTAAAGGTGTTGATTGAGTAACTAAAATAATATTCATCTTCCCTACAGACAGGGCAATCACAAAATCTGCTTCAAATCAATGTATATTTTTGTTACACTGACCTATATTAAAACATTTTCAATGTGACAGGAACCTAACATAATTGGCATATAAACCATCAAAGTCTTGTCCCCCTGGTTTCATTTAATTACAGATATCTGTAATTGATGTTTACACAACTTAAATGAAGCCAATAGTCCTTTCCAGCTCCATGATATACATTTACCTGGCTGGCCTTTCCGACTCCATGATATACATATACCTGGCTGGCCTCTCCAACTCCAGGATATGAACTGGCTAAAATGCTATGTTTTGTCAACTGAACTTCTTAATAGAACAAATAAATGGAGAATGAATGTGTCCATGGGACACAGATGATGCCCCCACTTGCATATAAAGTTATAAAAGGACATAACTCAAGAACGGTAAAAGTGACTCCACCAAAATTTGAACTTGATCTGAGTTTTGTGGTAATAACCATTGTGTATAAGTTTCATAACATTTGGTTGAGGCAAACTTAAGTTAGAGAACGGAGTCGCAGAATTTTTCCATTTAAAAAGGAGAATAACTCTAGAACAGTAAACGTGATGCCACCCAAATTCAAACTTGATCTGTGTTTTGTAGTAATAAACATTGTGTACAAGTTTTATAACATTTGGTTGAGGCAAACTAAAGTAAGAGAACGGAAACCAATTTCCGGACATATGTACATACGGACGGACGTTCAGACGAACGAGGGCAAAGTTACTGGTATGGCAAAGGAGGGAGCCAAGGTAGCCAGAACTTCACAACAAGAGTGGCAAAGTTACCGTTATGGTAAAGTTGGGAGCCAAGGTATCCAGAACTTCACATTAAGAATGGCAGTTACCTCTAAGGCAAAAGGGTAAACCAAACCACCCAAACATTCATAGCAACTGAACAGAATAGCAAAGTTACCTGCAAGTCAAAGGAATTAATCATGATACTCAAAACTTCCTCTCAACCATTGCAAAGTTATTGGTATGCTATAGGACAGAATCAAGTAAACCTTCACAAGAGTGACAAAATTAATTGTAAGGCAAAGGAATTAACAAAGATACTCAAACCTTCCTAGCAACCATTGCAAAGTTGTAAGGCAAAAGACAGAAAAAAGTCAACCAAACCTTCACATGAGTGGCAAAAATAACTTGTATGTAAAAGGACCGAACCAAGTCAACCAAACCTTCACATGAGTGGCAAAAATAACGTGTATGTCAAAGGACAGAACCAAGTCAGCCAAACCTTCACATGAGAGGTAAAAACAACCTGTATGTAAAAGGACAGAACCAAGTCAGCCAAACTTTAACATGAGTGGCAAAAATAACCTGTATGTCAAAGAAAAGAACCAAGTCACCCAAACCTTCACATGAGAGGAAAACATAGTCTGTATGGCAATGGTGTAAACCAAGATAAACAAAACTTTACAGTTTACATGAGTGGCAATTTTACCTGTGTATGGCAAAAAAGTGAACTAAGATACCAAAACCTTCATAGCAAACATTAGTGGCAAAGTAACTTTTAAGGCAAAGGACAGAACAACAACAAAGTTACCAGTATGTCAAAGGACAGAACCATGTTAACCAAACCTTCAATGAGTGGCAAATTTACCTGTATGTCAAAGGACAGAACCAAGTCAATCAAAACTTCACACGAGTGGCAAAAATAACCTGTTTGTTTGAGGAGTGAACCAAGATAAAGCAACCTTCATAGCAAACATTGCAAAGTTAACTGTATGGCAAAAGAGTGAACCAAAGTGGTGAGTATATGTACACATCCACCTCATGACAAACATATTATCAAACAATATGGTACTGAATGTCCACATGATATAGGCCTATACTTCATTTATATTTTTGCAACCAACTTCAATGCATTGTTAATTGTAAAATTGAGAATAGAAACGGGAAATGTGTTGAAGAGACAACAACCCAACCAAAGAGCAGAAAACAGCCCAAGGCCACAAATGGGTCTTCAATACAGCGAGAAAATTCTGCACCCGGAGGCAGGCTTCAGCTGGCCCCTAAACAATAATGTATACTAGTTCAGCGAAAATGGACGTCACACTAAACTCCGAAATATATAAATCAGCCAATTTTTAAAAAATATACAAGACTAACAAAGGCTAGAGGTTACTGTCAGACTTGGGACAGGCGCAAAAATGGGACAGCATCAATGTTAATTGTATATTATTTTCCCAACTTCTTTTTTATTTTTGCAATTATCTTTTTTTTTCTTCTTATTTTTTATCTAATTGCACCATCATACCAAGAAACTGCCATCTTCACATTAAGTAAGATAAATCTGGAATTGACATGTATATTTTGCAGTACATAAGTGTACCTACCAGGTTATATAATTCTCTGTAAGAATTCATTATCTATATATATAATTTTTGTGTTCATACTGACTTACACATTTACTGACTGTTTTGTTTTTTTATTTAAACAGTGAATGTTTACTTCCAATCTGATATATTAAACAACTGTCCTGTTACAATAGTTTCTGTTCCCCCTAAATGATTTAGATTTCTTGCTTATCTTACATGTGTGATCCCCTTTGCTCTAATTATTTATTTCAAGGTGGAGGAAGTTTATCTCTCCTGATAGAATGTTGATCTATTAATCATTCTCTTCATGGCTGATTTAACTTATGTATTTGGTTACACTTTGAATTACATGCGATTTACATTTCATTTTAAATATTTTCACTAAAAGGGAAGTTTGGGTAAAGAAATATTGGTGATCGAGTTTTTCCCATTCTGGAAAAGAATAACTTCACTAGTAATTGGTACTAACTGACAGAGCCATTCTCTCTAAAATGTTATAGAATCCATGCAGTATTAAGTAATTAGTATAATTAAAGGCTAAATTTTCTACTGACCATACAGCTATCACATGCCATTATTTTCCAGTGGCGGTCAACTTGTTATACATTTAGGACATTGTCCTATGAAATATCAAAGCAAACCCAGATAAAACCTTGAGGCTCAGACTGTTACCATTCTATTATCTTTTAAAATAAATATCCTTCACAGGAGAAGTGAGCAACTACACTTCCCATGAAATTTTCTAATTCATAGGTCAGTAATTCTGTCAGATGTAGAATGACATGAATGAACACTTTATCTGCAACCTAATATCAGACAAAGGCAGCTTGAATATAATCAGGCATTGCAAAAAAAGTGTTGAAAACTGAAGTTTTTCTGAGAAAAAAAAATGGGCAGGTATGGTAAAATTATGTACTTAGCATGCTTAGTGTCTTTGTCTTGTCAGAAAATATCACTCAACCAGATGGTTTATCTCTAGAATCCTTAGTCAATACGGCACCGCATAACATAAATATACAAAAAATCTCTAAATTATTGCACAGTAAGCTTTTTTTTTCCACATGAGGAGGAAGATATCTTTGAATACATTTCACATTTTGACCAAAACTAAAGGTAACACTGGGTGAAGCATTATAAAAACGTGGCATGCAAACAAGGGGAAAATTGTATATATTAAAATGGATTTTGGACCTAGTCATGCTTACCGGTATATGTTAGTTCTTTATCTCTGACAAGTTAAAAGCTACAGCAAATCTGTAAAAAGATATACCACAGGATTTTTTTGTTTTGTGGAAATTACATGCACACAAATAAATAAGAAAATAGATAAGTGAATATAAGGCTTAATTTGAAGTATCTTTAGAAACACCTCAAATGAACCTTTTTTAATATGTAGGACAAAGGTTGCTCGCATTATATTGTGAACAATGGCCGGATTAACAGATTGACAGACTAAATGACCAAAGACAGATTGAGGGGGTCAAAGGGACCTACCCCCTTTATGGAGCTACATATTTGGTTAATGCATGGACTTTTTTACTTGTTCCTCTCCTAATGTTTCCTAGTTTGGAGCCCCCTCCTTTTTTTCAAAATCCTTGATCTGCATCTGTAACTAACATAAAAGTTATCATGGAGCATTAAGTCAACAGATAATGATCCCCAGTGTGTAGTCATATAAGATATTATAGCTACATATGTCATGTATTCACAATAAACAGAAATTACCATGAAACAGATTTCAGAGAGTCAGCTGCCAGAGATGGCTACAATGTATGAACAGTGTCATTATTTGACACTCTAAATCATTCTTAAACAGATAATTCTGGCACTTATCAATTTTATGTGACAAAATTCTACCTATTGTCAAGCAAAATAGACTTGTTAAGCCATTGACTGCTATCTGAATTACCAATTCTACAAAAGGAGGTTAAATCTAGACTACAGGGTAAATTTGTACAGTCATTGTTATAGATTACACTGACATGTGTTGATTATAACCAGACTTTAAGAAAGGACACTACAATCTAATTATCTTAAAGTCCATTAAAACTAATGTCAACCAATAAGTCTTGTGTTTCCCCATATAAACACATGTGTTTATTTCAATTATCTAATTTTGATGTCATGGCAGGTATAGTTACTCTCTTTCCATGTTTAAATAACTTTATCATATGGCATGTAAGTAATTTCTGCCCAAATAGCTGATGACCAAAAGTAAAAGTACAAATATATCCCCTGCCTCAGTTCGATACTATTCTAAATATTGTCACTTAGAGACATGCCTTAAATGTGTATTCTAATCTTATGAATATTTACACAAGTTATAATGACCAACTAGTGTTTATCATTATTATTAACAGAAAAAAATAATTATTCCTTTATCTAATTGCATTTTTTTTTTTTAAATTCTTGTATATAACCAGATAAGATTCTATAATTGTTTATAAAGAATAAAAGTACTTACTTTCGATCATGTAACTAGATTTATTTTCTTCTGTTCAAGAAAATCTTAATCCATTAACTGTTTATATCATCCTAGAAATGAAGATTAATCCAGATGTTAAAATTCACACTTGAACCAATCAATCTCTTTCTCTTCTTTGTTAGAAGATTGGCAGAATTAACTAATAATATTTCCTGTAGTGAAAAAAAAATCTATTTTTCTTCTCTTTGACAAAATAATGTAACAGTAACAGTTTTCCTTTGCTATAAAGGGTGTATAAATATTTGTGTGAAAAATCTGCAAACAAATATTGACCCTGGAAGAAACCAAACTAACTTGATTAATGAACTGTTTACCTAACTGTGGAAAAATACCCACAAATCTTTGTGTGTATGCATCATTCCAAAATCTTTAGAGTGCAGTTGCCATAGAAACTGATTACAAGGTACTCTACACACAATGATTGATGCTAACCTGCTGTGATTTTTGAAGTTTTATCAATTTGTGATAATTTGCCTAATCCCCTTGACCTGGCTTGACCTTTACTGATAATCAATGATAGAATTTTTTTGTCTCTAAAAGTTCTTAAAAATAATGAATTCATAATACAAGAAACCCAATATCAATTAAAAATCAATATAGTTTTCATTCATTTCAGTGACAAAAGATCACCCTTTTTTAGTTCACATGATAGCTGTTTTTATTCATACCAAATGAAATGTATTTTCTTGTAAATATGCCCTATACTGTGATGAATATTAATTTTATAAAACATTTATTGATATAGATACCGTATTACACATAACTAGGAAAGAGCTTATTTATTATTTAAATAAGAAATTTGACAAAACACTTACTGGTCTTTTTTTCTGTTTTCACAAAAGAAATATAGTGTGTAGTTTGCATGAAAAATTACATACTGCTTACCAAAATTTAAGTCATAAAACCAAAATACAATTCCATTCCTATTTGTTCTTGATATAAGCAGATCAATGTTTAATCCTTTGTTCAAATCTTCCTACTATTTTTAAATTTGACTAGCTCTCCTCTTTTCTGACATTTGTAACAATCATCACAGTAAACAAATTACCGAATTTTTTTGGAAATATATTGTTTATTTAGTATAAGTTTTCCAATTATGACCAAAAAAGGTCATTATAGCCACACCCTTTTAAAATATAAATATATTTTCAGAGTAAAAAAATATAAGCATTGATCAGGGAATAGAGACAATTATCAAAATACAGAATCAAACCTAGCTTAATAAACAAAATATAACCTTAGCAACCTATCAGGTTTTCATCTTTTAATGACAAATCCTAGTTTTAAAGCATCTGAGGACAAGGTTAATTTGTAATGAATGTGAACCTTGTACTAGAACACAATGAGCCAGATTCTTAATGAGCTAGTTTACAAGTCAGTCCTCGTGATGGCATGTCACCTTGCTTGGTCACATTGTTCAGATTCAGTGGCAACCAGTCTTTACTCCTAAATCCTCATTGTGAAACGAAGTAGCAGCAAATACCAAATATAAAGTCTTTGGTTTGACCCCCCCCCCCCCCCCTTTAGCGTGGTTAATTAGGAGATATTAAGATTGCCAATGGGACTACTATCCACAAAATACCAAAGGACACGGATATGAATAACCACAGGTTACTGTATGACTACGAAAAAAAGAAGAAATAAAGATTTCACAAAGTTAGTTGCCAAGACAGCTATACCCACAAGGTCATTATTTGACACTACAAATTATTTTTAAACTATTAATGACTCTTTTCAATTTGTTTTGAGAAAGTTGACCATGATTGTTAACTTTTGATTTCTTGACATTACAGATAAGTACATTTTGTTATGAGTAATAATGTTCAGTGATATGCCCTTAAAAGTAGAAGAAACCTAATAAAGAAGTCTAGGAAACAAGCAATTACTGAACATATATACGTCAGTAAAATATAGAAACCAACGTATTTACTATGTAAACCTAGAATTATTACCTCAAACAGACGGTATCCGGTTAATTTTTGTAGACTAGACATTAAATTACAAATTACAACACAACAAGTTTTCTTTTACAGCAATTTTTTTGTAAGAATTTGTTATTTTTGTTACTTGTCCTGTAACGTAATTGCCACAATTTTTCTTGTAGCATCTTCCTTGAAATAAATTGGATATTTTCCTTACTTGTCTAACATAATCACTGAATGATATGTAAAGAAACAGACTAGAAATGTTCTTTCCATTTTTATAACTCAATCAGTGCTCCAGTGAAGCCAACAAAATTTCTTTCACCAGAATGGATCAAGTATTACTGTTTCACAGGCAAATTACAAGTGTTTTGGGAAACTCATTGAAAATAAATCAAACTTGATGAAGCAGAAAAATGCTGACTGCCTTTATTCTTTTATCAATGCAAAATGTCATTTATTTTAGTAAAATATATATTTACAGCATTAAAAAAGCCTTAAAACTAGAAAAAATGTTAAAGCAGAAGCTATGAAAATGTATTTGTCAGGAGTTAAAATTATCACTAACAATATGAAGAAAAGTGGTGGATTTGTACCGGTTAATACAAATCTGGGTATGCATTTGACTTATACCTCCTTTTATTATGCTTGAAATTTTAAGATGGTATACTCAAGGATTTGTATAGTATTTACTATACAAATCCTTGGTATACTCATCTCATATATATATAAAATGTCAACTCAAATTTAGCCAATTAACATTTTTTCCCTCATCATTTTTTTTTTGTTTACTGTCAAATCAGTTTACTGTATAATCCTTCTTTAGAAAACTCATTTTCAGATATAGTGAAATTATAAGTGAATTGATAAAAACATTTTGCATATTATTTGCCATGGACCTTAAATCACATGGCATAGTTCTGATTTCTACGGTATGGAACTAATACAATGGTCTTTCTTAGCCTTAGCAAACTCCATACATGTATATGTGATATATTTACATGATCATATGATACCTAGAAACAATATATTTCCTATTTACTGTGATAGAGAAACCACTTAATTATTTAAGCACTTTCTTCCTAGTGTCTTAAGTGATCATTAATATGAACTGACCACTTTACTTTAAAGGAAGATGATGAGCAAAGGATGTGAAAATGTACCACACAGTATAAAATGTTCACATCGAGCTTGATACAAAATTCCAGGAAGCTCTGATTTAGAGCCCCTGACACAAATGATACCAAAATTTCATACATGGCCATTTACATGTGTAAGAATATATAGGTTTTTAAAATTTATGAGTGATGAATATGAAAACAAATAATATGGTATAGCATACTCAAATGAAGCTTCATCTACCAAATTTCAGGAATCTCTGTCTTGTGGGTACTGACAGGCAGTAGGACAGTGGTAAACCAGTATACCCCTCCTTTGCTGCAGGGAAAAATTATACAATGTAATAACCAAGATTAAATTGTGTGTTGAATCATTTGCAATCTGTCATACAGTCAGTGTGTCTTTTTGTTTTTCTTTATTGTTGTCTCTTTGACCTATACCTCACATTTACTCTAATTTATATTGAATAAATGGGGAATGTGTACATGGGACACAGATGATGCCCCCGCTTGCATATCATATAAAGTTATAAAGGGACATAACTGAAGAACGGTAAAAGTAATAAGTTTCATAACATTTGGTTGAGGCAAACTTAAGTTAGAGAACGGAAACGATAAATCCAGCAATTTTTCCATTGTAAAGGTGCATAACTCTAGAACAGTAAAAGTGACACCACCAAAATTCAAACTTGATCTGTATTTTGTGGTAATAAGCATTGTGTATAAGTTTCATATCATTTGGTTGAGACAAACTAAAGTTAGAAAACGGAAACAAAAAATTCAGCAATTTTTCCTTTATTAAAGGGGCATAACACTAGAACGGTTAAAGTGACGCCACCAAAATTCAAACTTGATCTGTGTTTTGTGGTAATAAGCATTTTGTATAAGTTTCATAACATTTGGTTAATGCAAACTAAAGCTAGAGAACAGAAACCAACTTTGGGACATACGGACGTACATACGAACAGATGGACAGATGTACAGACGGTCAAGGGTAAAACTTAATGCCCCCTCTGCTACGGTGGGGGCATAAAAATCAGAGCTGAGGACACAAACTTGAAGCACACATCATTTTCTATGACTATGAAATGTATTATTTTTAGGTTGGGGAATCTAGTTTAAGTCGGGATCAATTTGAGTTTAACAGGTAGTAAAAACATTTTCTACTCAAGCATAGAAATTATGAATGTAGACAGAAAGTCACAGGACAAAATGTCACAATTCAGTTATTGAAGAGTCACAAATCTGATAGGACACTATTGTACAGTAAAATGTTTGAATTTAATGTTTAACAGAATATCATTTCTTTTCACTTTCTTAAAAGATGTTTGGAACTTTCATTGGTAAATAATTGATATAAATTTTGTTTTGAAATATTGAAATAAGGTTTTAAAGGTGTAATGTAATAATCTGTCCAGAAAGCTGATTGACAGGATATATATAAATATTTAATTGAAGCTGTTTGATTATTTTATCAGTCTTCTTTAAAAAATTGTTATAAAAACTTGACAGTGTTACAAAAACCAGCAGATTTATACAAAACCACATGATTTGCAAGTGCATTCCTTCAATTTCCTACTCATTAAAAGATGTTGCATTATTCTGAAACATGATATATTTTCTTCGAGACTTTTTTCCATACATCAGGGACATATAATTCATATACTATAAAATCAGAAATTATTGCGATTTTTTAAGAATAAAAAAAAATGCGATATTTATCATTGCAATATAAGAAAATCTGCATACAGTTAATATCTGTATCAGATATCAGAATGCGAGTTCTTATTATTGGGATATTCACCTAGTAGCATCATTATTAAAAATATATATTAAACAAGAATGTGTCCAAAGTACACGGATGCCCCACTCACACTATCATTTTCTATGTTCAGTGGACCGTGAAATTGGGGTCAAAACTCTATAAATTTGGCATTAAAATTAGAAAGGTCATATCATAGGGAACATGTGTACTAAGTTTCAAGTTGATTGGACTTCAACTTCATCAAAAACTACCTTAACCAAAAACTTTAACCTGAAGAGGGACAGACGAATGGATGGACGAACAGACGCACAGACTGAAAAACATAATGCCCATAGGTGGGGCATAAAAATATACATAACAAATTTACTATTTTGTTGTTCTCATAATTGCGACTTTTCCTGTGACTTTTTCCCTACATTCAAAGAACTATATCCTTTGCATAATAAAAATTTTGATAAATCTTCATTTATCAAGGCTAATGAACAATTTCCTAAACTGTGAAATTCACAGTTTACAAAAGGAATAT